TGAGCGAAGGTGGGAGTGTTCTAATCTTAGAAAATTCCTATATGTGCCCTCTCAAGGCCTGCACATACATGCCAGCAGGAGACTGTAATATCACTGCATTGTTCAGTGGTATCAGAGCGTCAGAGTGTTGTGACAAAAAAAGTCATTATCGTGAAGGTTGAGATAGTCCACTGGGGCTCAGGACTCATCAACAATAAGGACACACGGTGAAAAGCTGCAGACAACAGGGACACTAAGCACCCAGTGGAGGTATGTTTGTATTAGTGGACAGGGTTATCTGGTTTCCTCTTCAATGCAATGCTGTGCTACATGCTGTTTTGTCAAATAAATCAAAATATCTGACAGGCAAGTTTGTGCTCAAAATGTTCAATTTAATCCGCAAGAACTAACAAAACATTTATTACTCTAAACCATAGACTGTATATAGAATGGACAGTGTCTGCCTCCTTGCTCGGTGAAGCAACTTAGAGAACAGCACCCTCTGGTGACGGGCTGTAGTATAGGTCATAAATCCCGCCGACGCCAGCCATCCTTATATACGGGTTTCTGTGCAACATCATCGGAGGTTTGCACGTGCAGCCTTGGGGCAGAAAGCGGGACATTTGTTTACTTATTTGTTTACTAGCGGAGTCAACGGAGAGAGAAAATGACAAGGAGCTGTTATGCTGTAAACTCACGAATCGGCAAAACAAACAAACGGCAAACATTACGACCCTGCTTCTGATATTAGAAACATCTAAAACAACGTCACAACCCGGTAGATTGAGTGAAATTGAAAGTGTTTTTCTGATTTTGATGCAATGAAAGACAAAGTGATTTTTCATGAAATGACATTTTATTGCAATTGTGTCAGGGAGAATGTGCAGACAATACGGCATCTTCATTGATATCAGTTCACTCCAAAGCAGGTGTTTGCCCCATGGTTGGGGCATGGTTCCATACTTAGTATTGTTTGTACACAAGAAACCCGTCTATGGAGCTGTGGACAAACTTCAGAAATTTATTACACAGAATAAAAAATTTTTTCCCCCCTGATTGCGATGTTGACATGTAGTTATTGTAAGACTGGTTTGTGCTCAATTCCTCTTTTTTTCTGTACAGCTCCATTTTTAAAAGTTATTAGGGGTTTCATGTTTTCAATGATTGACACTTGATACAGCCTATGGGCGTATGAAGATTGCGTAGCTCACCCGCAGGATATACTGTTTGAGCCGAGCGCCATCACAGCGACTCTCTGAGCATCACATGGTTGAAAGGGGTGCTCATCGATTGGACAAAGTAGGAGGGGAAATCCCTCTATCCCCCTCCGGAAAAACAACAGTGAAGATGAAGCATCATGTGAAGTTGGCTGTTCTGGGGATGTCAGTGGATGTCAGAAGTAGCTTTATGCTGTCATCTGACCATATTTCAAGGAGCACTTTAACCTCTTCGTCTGCCCACGTCTGTACTCTCGCCATGTTTGTTTTGGTTTGGAGTGCGCGCCGTGCTTCCTCTACCCAAGATGCACTGCGTATAGCGTCATTACGTACATTTGGTCCTGTGTTTGGTCTGGTGAGCTTTCACACTGCATACGGACCAAACCAGGGTTCTCTTGCAAGCAAACCGAGACCCATGTTTTCAGGCGGACCAGAGTTCACTTGTTTGGTCCGCACCAGAGTTCGGATGAGCTTTCACACCTTCCCAAATGAAGCAGACTATCCGAGGAAACAAACTCTGGTCCGTTTAAAGCGGACCAAAAAGCTCTGGTTTGAAAGCGACCTGAGACTCTCCCGCCGAATGCGTACAACGCAACTGCGTGAAGTTGGTTCAAGAAGTGGTGAAAAAACGCATAATTACTGAGAGCTTTTCGGCTTCAAATCCATAAACTGGTGGAAGGTGGAACCAAGTTATCAACAGCATATACAATCTACGCTGTAAACAAAGTCCACGTTTTGTTTCACTAACCCCTCACTGCAAGACTGCAGGACAATCTCCACACCACCAGCATTTCCTTGGTGCGTCACTGCAGCCACTCACTAATGAGTCACACAGCTCCCATGATGCATCTAATTGAACCATTTATCATAACGGTATGTTGAGGTTTCATAAACAGCACACACTTGAGAAGTTTAAGTACTAAAATGGTTTAATCAGCAGCCCGCTGAATGGAGTGGTGGCCTCTGGTGGACAAGTGTGCCTGCTGAGGAGCGAGCGATTCTCCACACATGAATTAATAAGCAGAGAGATGGAAAAAGTGGGTACAAGATGACGCCTTCAGACTCAGGCCACATTATCACTTCACAGGCTGACAAGTTTAAAACTGTGCGGCGGCGGCTTTCTTCTTTGTGTTTCGTTTGATCAAAATGAGGCTCCCACTTACTTTGGTGAATTTAACAGCTTCCAATTCACGTTGAGCAGCAGGTGATCTCGGCAGACATTTACTGCTTGTCTCTGCGTGTCTCTTTACAGAGGTATCAGAGTAATAAAGCAGAATGATGCAACTTGATGTCCCCTCAGGGATATGAAGTGAAGACAGGATGAAGCTCTGCTTTTAGGGCTTGACCCCGCTCCCTGGTGATACCGCATTCAGGAAGACAAGACTCCAGCTCATCCTAATTATTTCTAACTGATGGGCCAATCCATCAAGAGAGACAGTCTCAAAGAGGAAAACGGGAGGAGGAGGAGGAGGCGATGGAGGGAAACAGAGAAGGATGGTAAGAACACATGCTGTGGCTTAACCATTCTCCCTCCGTTTGATCTCTTTTTTTGTTTTTTAACCCTGTCGTTTATTCTTTTCATCCTTGCCCTTTCAAATCTGCTTAGCACTTTCTTGGATCAGTCACGCTCTTAATATGAAAATCCACCGTCTTTGGCGCTACTGTACGATATATTTGGTAGTGCGCAGGTTCGGTCGATAACACAAATACATGAGGTTGTCATCGACGTAGTACATAATGCACGAGCGAACCATCCTTTGTCTGGAAAAGTCGATGTGAATTCAGAGAACCTATTAGCTTTATTCCTCATATGAGGATTCCATGACAAATGTCTTCGGTCCGGGCACATCGAGTCATTAAATTCAGATTTATAAGATTGATATCAATGCTTATCAAAACACTGACGCCCCCCTTATGCCACCAAAGGCCCCCGGGCGCCTATCCTCTCCCCATGAAGAGAGAGACGGATAGACCCAAAGAATGGACATGAGCGAGAGAAAGAGGAAAAGAAAGATAGAGGGAAAATATTCTCAGCCTCAGCAGCTGAGCGCGATTCAGCATCGCGGCATTAGCTGACGCCTCCTGATAACAATGGTAAGGGATTAATCAGTATTCTGTGCATCGCTCAGGGCTGCACTAGTCCTTTATCACAGCAGCAACTGTGCTCCCCCTCTAAAGGTAAGGTTAAAATGGAGATTAGGCTTTGTTCCCGCTCACCTCCTCTAATGAACCTTATCTCCCTTCACTACCCATCTCTTCATTCTGTGTCGCTCACAGAATAACACACCTCGTGCCCTCTTTTCTCCCCTCTGGAAGCAAACAAAGAAAAGCTCTCTGTTTTCGGTGTCTCTTTGTAAGCGCAATGGGCCAGTCACCCTGTTGTCTCATTCATTTCTGCTTTGAGTCATTCACATTGAAGCATTTGCTATTCTCGCCTGCTTAGCGGCTGTCTTGTCCAGTGTCTAAACAGTGCTTCAAAATCCCTCAGCGTGGACCCATTTGCTCACAATGCTCGGGGATTACTCATTCCCGTCATCCAAAAAAGCAAAAAAGTAAAATTGTTTTCAGCAAACCGGTAAACACTAATTTCTACACTGAAGAAGAAAATCAACTTAGGCTGACTAATTGAAATAAAACGCTTTGTGTGTCACATCCTCAGCACCAGAATCACATGTAGTAATTATACAGAAAATACCCTGTATAGGCCTGACAGCGGGGAGGCAATTTACTTATATTTAAAAGCGTATTTTAAATGTGGTGGTTGGTTCTTTCAGGGTTCTTGTAAAAGACAGTCAATTTAAATCTGATAACTATAATGGATTATAATTATCTTAAATGGGCTAAGCTGCACTTACTTATGCTATAGGTTCTTCCAGAATATATTTTTACATCCAGTTAATGTCAGGAGATAACTCTGGAGAACTTTTCAGGGAATTATTTTTACCCGGGAACTTGGCACTGGATAAGAAAAGTCTCTACTTGACTCAAATTCACTGACATGTACAGAATGATTGAAATCGCCAAAATCCGCCTTGGCACTGGGGTCAGAATCACAGTCGACAGCATGCAGCTCACCATGAATTCATTAAAAAAGGAGGCGCCCACATCCATCTCAATCAGGGATGGGGATCAATAACCGGGTCCATTAAATACTCAATGAATCATTTATCAAAACCTAAAAATCCATAATGTTTGAGCTTATCGAGTTTGCTATCGGGTACCTTGGAGTAACGTTATACTTTGAGTTAAGAGGCATCCTGTTCATTAAAGCAACGGTGCACACATATCGATAGACACTCTAATAAAGTGTGTCTATCATTTGAACAGAAACGGGTATATAAGTACACAAAGAAGAATTTTAATGGTTAGTAGTTTGTGATGATGTCTGAACATGCAAAGAAGTCCTAAGTGAGGCTACATTTACCAAAGCTGAAGATAGGTAGGGTGACCATACGTCCTCTTTTACTTGGACATGTCCTCTTTTTTGGGGGCTTGTCTGGCTTTGTCCGGGGAAGTTTATAAAACCCTTCAAATGTCCGTGGTTTTGTATTTAAGTTTCAAGTTTGTGTCACATGGACTTACTGAGTTAGAAGCACGTAAAAGACACTTGATCTGACCTGCAAAACTCTCAAAATTAACTTCCGTGACATAGTCCTGTCCTCGTTTTTGGAAGTCAAAATATGGTCACCCTAAGAAAGGGATGAAGCGAAATGCAGTTTATGTTGCAAAAAAGGGGGTAAAACAACATTGATCGCTAAGTGCATCAGTCCTGCGCATCAAATCAAACCAAAGTATCTGCAGAACCTTTGACCGTCTGTAGCTTTAAACAAGTCTGCTGCTGCTGCAGGGCCGCCATCCTCCTCTTCACCCAAACACAGCCAGACTGTAGAGGAAGTCCTGTTAGTTAAAAATCAAGATCCAGTGTTAAATTTGGTGTTAAAATCCATGTTGACATCAGCAGGAAAAAGCTTTTAACACTGTGAGGTGTTCAATGTCGGGTCAGTTAAATAAACAAGTACACACAAAGGGCAACATGGTGCCCATTTTACAAGCAATGTCACTTGAGTGCACACCTGCTGTTAGCACTACAGAGGGAGCTAACCAATTACACCTAAAATGACAGACCCTGTTCATCGTTTTTGACCAGAGAAAGGAAGAAGAAAGAAGAAGACACAGATTCAAGTTTAAAGAAATGACCCTAAATGACGGGGATGCCAATTCAGACTGGGTTAATTTCAATTTTCACACTACAAATTGCAGATATGGATAAAAAAACACAGTTTTTTACTCGTGTTTTTACTCACATAGCTGGATCACACCCTGTGCATCAACTGCAGCTTTTCCACCCGAGCAGGAGGCTGAAAAGTCTAACATGGTGATGGCACACCATGCCATTCATTTTGAAGAGCTTCAGATGTCGTTTGAACTTTGAGAGGCATCTTTCAGCACGACGCTGTGACGCTCTCTGCTATCAAGGGGCTGAAGAGGTGGTGGTGACAGTGAATCCACTGAAGCTGAATTTTTCGGGGAGTCAGAGTGGGAAAGTGGAGAGCTGAGGCACAAAGACATACAGGTAAAATCTCACGATGGGTTGCACCTGTGTCACAGTATTTCTCTTGTTGACAGTCAGCAGCCAAAGGATGAATAATTTAACAATATCAGGAGCTGATCTTTATCTAATTGATACTGGTTTGGTATGTTTACCTCTTTGTTTCATGTTTTTAAGGGGAATAAAGACCAAATTGACTGATGAAATGGAAAGAACAGGTAAAAGGCCGAGGAGACGAGGAGAAAACTAACACTGTCCGAGATACAGATAGGAGTTAGAGAGAACTAATTACCATCAGGGGAGCCCTGGGTCTAAAAGCTTATGACTTCCCACTGAGCATTTTTTGCTCTAAGAGAGGTCTAATAGACATCAAAATGTAGCCTAGATGACTGGTCTAAAATCAGGCAACCACAGGTCTAAAAATGAACGTTTTTTAGATGTCTAAATTTAGACCACGTTTAGACTAGCCGGCCAACAGAGATCTAACTTTATATTCCTCAACCGCTATCATAATTATTTTGGTGAAGTACTTGGAGATCAGTGAATGCAGATAAATACTTCAGATAATTAGAAATGGGGCCCAGTCAACGTGAAAGTAAAAAGCGTTGGTGCTACTGTAGATGCCAACAGACTACCAGCAAACACAATGTTTGCAGGACTTCTACAACTAGGATAAAGTGACATAGTCCAGGACCCGAGGGAAACAGGTTAGCAGCGCTACAACACACAGCAGGTCCCGTTTGACCAGAAACACTTCTGTTACAGACAATTGGATACTTTGTTGAAGCAGTTTACCTGGAACAGGGTCCATAAGATCCCGAAGCGTCCCCCATCATTGTTGACCCAGCTTTTTAGCTCTTGTCCAGGTGGTCTACCTCCTTTTTAGGCGCCCATTATTCCACCAGAGTCTCCGGTATTTAGTTCATTTTCTTGCTTGTGTTGGTGGTCGTGGCTAAAGGAGGATTCAGATATTTTTCTGTATTTTCTGGTTGTTTTTTTTCTGTCTGATATTGTTGCACGCTAACTTTGTTTGGGCTCCTGAACAACATGGGGGAGCAGCGTCTGCCTCACAACCAATCAGGATGGTGGAGGCGGAGAATGGCTTTGTTTACAGTCAGAAAGAGCAGAGCGCTCTGAAATTTTAATATGTTGACTACACAGACATAAGAAAACACAGCGATATCGTTATATTATCAAATGTCATCAATGACTAATAGCTATTGACTGATATTTAAAGCTTTTTTGTATAAACACCACAAAAAAAGATGCTTCTTTAACGGAAGTGCAACGTCTAAATTCCGTCTAAAAATATACAGAGTCTGGACGGTTGAAATTAGGTCTAAAAAAAACCCAACTAAACATCTAATAGCCGTCTATTGCTCAGTGGGTTATTTCATTTTTCCGGGAAACGATGGTTTTCATAAACAATCAGGACAAACGCGCAACAGACGAAAAAATTATCTGTTTGTCTTATTGATTTTAAATCATTTGATGTATTTTTGATTTTAAATTGTTTGAATCCCTCTTTTTGAAAAATTTTCATTGTATTTCCTTGCATCTCTAAAGCACTTAGAATTGCCTTGTGTTTGAATGGTGCTATACAAATAAATCAGCCTTGCCTTTGCCTAAATGCTGATTCAGACAACGAGGTTTGAATTGATGAGGAGTCATAAAAGATTAGTTTGATGTTGACTCAGTTATTATTTCAAACACAGAGATCAGTATCAGCCTTGATTTTCATAACTGGCGCTTTTAGGAATTTAATTGTCACTCTCATTTTACTGGATTTAGATTTGATCTGTACCTGAGCTCATTATGTGCTTAGATTGATTTGACTGTGATCATATTTTTGTCTATCAGTTAACTTGACAAAAGTTTCAACCTGATACAGAGGGAGTAAACGGAGGTAGGAGATGTATGAGGGAAAATCTTTCTCAATTCTCCATTATTTGGCTCTATACAAACTGCTTTCTTGCCCTTTTAGAGGCTTTCTACACCTACTTATTTCTTGAGATGAGAGTGCCGGTGAGGGCGGACTTAATCAAGGTTTGTGACAGTTTTAGCTCCTACCTGTGTGCTCTTAAAAGGCAATGATTTCCCCTGCCAGAGTGTTATTCAGGGTTGTTTATGGTTTCTCTATTCAGCTGAGGAATGCTCCTCATCTGTCTCAAAAACACATTCATGCATCTCAAGCAACTTTATGAGATGTGACTGAAATAAAATATTGTAGCTCAGAAGAAAGGAGAGGTTTTTTTTCTCAAAGACACCAACCTGTGATATTCCATTTTCTGTCTTCTTAACAACACTTTGGGAATGCTTACCATCTACTGCCCTGCTTTACATGATAAAATCTGTATTTTGAATCTCTTTAAGCACAGCAGCGGTAGATTACAGCGCTCAGTCTTTCAGGGAGCATTTCAGGTGAAAACGTGATAATCAGCTGCATGTTTTGAGAGCAAAGACAAAGTTTCAAAGAGTCTGAAAAAACGTTTCTAGCCTTGAAATTTCAGCCTCTCTCTAGTTTTTGAATTTGGACGATATTTTTGAAACCAGGCTGTAAATGGACATTGCTGTCTTTATTAAAAAATGAGCAGGATATTAATTTTGTAGAGCAAAATACTTGACTTCCCTGTGTCAGTCGAAGAATTGATTGTTGTGGGTGAACAAAACGCTGTCTCTGTATAGGAAATTGGGCTGCCTCAATAAACTCGAATAGATGGTAATTGTTTTTTTCCAAACATTAATATATTGATACTATCAGAGAGGACAGACAGAAAAGAGTTCGTGAAAAAACCTTTTTAAGTTGCTAATTAATTGAAAATCACGACTTTCTGTCTCTTCTTTTTCCTTTTTTACTTAAGTTCAGCAACCTACTGTCTACCAGAAGCAGTATACTTCAAAATAAAAGCACAGTCGGACCATGCAGGAAGTAAAGAAACCTAGTTAACATGAATATTTAAATTATTATAGATAAATATGTTTATATTTGTCCAATGGATGGGCCCCCATAACTTGTTCAGGGTCTAGTAGATGAGCCAGCTATGATGTAAGAGACAAAAGAGCTGTAAGTTTTAAGAGTTTATTTTTTCAGATAAGTTTGGTTTTACTTTTTTATTTGGTGCTGAAAAAGATGGTTATAACTGGGGCCCCCTGCAGTGTTTTGTACCAGGTTGGCAGGAGGAGGAGGAACTGCCAGAGAGAACATAAAAAAAAAACCACCAACGCATGAATCATTGAATTTTCTAAAAAACCATGAGTGTCTGCTTCAAAAATATCAACTTGAGGGGTGTCTGATATCTTACAAGGAAGTTAAAAGTGTGTTTTGTTTTACAGACGGGGTGTGACAGCGGTCCTGCAGCTCCACTGGAATAATATGTCACAACCCATCAAGGTGGTACTTTGGCTTCACATCCACAATGGGATAAGATGGAGGCATGGTGTGTGTATATAAATATTCAGTTAATGGGAGTCAGCTTATGACAACTTAGCTTAAATAATGTCTCTAAGTAGATGTCCCCAGCAGCAGCTTTCCACAAACAACCTATATTTAGACGTTGTTTCTCAACTCCACTCGTCTCAAGCTGCTTGTTGGACTGCGACATATAAAGATCTTGGCTGGAAGTCCTATCTTCAAATGCTGGCTACACCAGAAGCCCGAGGAAGTTGGCCGTTTCCCCCAGAGGCATATAATGTTGTCAGATGACTGTGGATTAAGTTCTGAGATAGCTAATCAGCTAATCATTTCCACACATTCATAATCTGTATTCTACACCCTCAGGAACAGTCTGAGGTTCGGTATGTTGCCCGAGGATACGTTAACATGTAGACATGAAGATCTGGGGATCTAGCGCCGATCCTCAGACTGAACGGCAGCCTCTCGAAGGAGGTGTTTGTCTGCTGTTTGTGATGTGACTTGAGGCAGCGCCATTCAGGGTTTGTGTCTACAAGTTTGAAAATGAGCAGAGTTTACGGTGCTAAAGTTAAAAAGTGGTGAGTTCGGCACATTTCTGTAGCTCTCCTCTCATTTCTGCCCCGAGGCCAGCAGCTTGAGGCTACATTTCCTCTGCTGGCATAACATACCTCCTTTTTTTCTTCCCAGCTGTTGATAGCTGAGTTACTCTGCGGGTGACATAGGTTTGACTCTGCGAAGGTAAAACAATATGTTGGGGAAAGATAATGCCTCTCTAAAATAAATGCTGTATGGATATTCATCCTACACAGTCCAGGATTATCAGGCTGTGCAGTGCTAAATCATTGTAATACTCTGTGCAGGAACTCTTACAAACTTGTAGGAACTTGTTGGCAGTGAAAGCGCCTTCATATCCTGTTTGTAAATCTGTGGCGCAGGATGGTAAATGATTTAAGTATTTTTCCTCCAGCTTCTTCCGTTCTGTTGTTGCAGCCACCGTTTCCACTGCCAGACTTGAGTCTGCCTTCATAAATGACCAATGTGATCTGCCATTTACTATTTCCATTTCCACCCGCTCCTTTCTGCCTGTCTTTACAGGGATTCAACATAGTTTGCCTTTTGTGGAGCTGAAATGTAGATCCCAGCATATCATTTGCATAAAAAACTCACTTTCAGCTCCTTTTCATACAGGCACTATTGTTCACCCTGAATCTCTGCAAAAACGCTCAAGTCATTTCTCTGCATGAATGCCTTTTCTAAACCAACAGGCTTTAGATGAATTCTAAATCACTCAATGTGCTTCACCCTTCGCTTTCTCTTTCCATCCAGAGTTGGCATGATAAATCTGTATGCACATCTGCCAAACCATCCCTGTCCTCCCTCTGTCTCTCGCACCTTCCCTGCTCTCTCCCCTCTGCACCCCCATCCATCTCTCAGTCCCAAACTCATTTGATTTGGGGTGTAATTGCGGGTGCAGATCTGTGGCCGGGTGTGGAGAGGAGCGATTGCTGTGCTCCACTGAGTGCGGAGGATGAGATAGAAGAGAACAGAGCCCAGGAGACTCCACGCTGCTAAAGCTGGTTACCTACACTCATAGCTAGCCTCCAAGCGCAGTCCTGTGCCAACAGGGGGCCGGGGTTAGCTTCGCCAGTTTGAGTCTGTCTGTCTTTCTTCAGTTTCTTTTGTTCTCTCTCCGTCACACTCCTACTTCTCAGTTTTTCTCCTGTTTTAGATTTTCTGTCCTGTTTTTTTTAATCTATCTATCTATCTATCTATCTATCTATCTATCTATCTATCTATCTATCTATCTATCTATCTATCTATCTATCTATCTATCTATCTATCTATCTATCTATCTATCTATCTATCATTGATTGGTGTTGAGTCTCCTCATGTTCAGGTTACTTAGTTTGTACCTGTATGTAGATTTGTATTTGTTGCAAGATGAGAAAATTTAGCCTGACATCCAGTTAAAACCTAAACATAACATAAAACTACACACAACAATCAGAAAAAAACTATAATAAGAGATCTATTTTTGCTAACCTGTGGACATCTACATAAAAGAAATCTCAGTAAAGTTCTATAAAATGAGATTCACATGAGTGACTTGTTCTGAAACATGTCTGCAACCTGAACTCCTGTTGTGCGGTTCTATCTGGATAATACTTACCTGGCAGCTCTGTCAGAGTCCCCAGAAAAGCTGGATGTGTTCCCTCATCCTGTGGGTCCCTCTGGATTGCTCCCGCAGATGTTCTGCAGCTATAGATCTGTGACAAAGTTAATGTTAAATTGTAAAACTTGTTGATTCTGTCTCCTTCAATAGTTGTTGACATAAATCAAACTAAGACTGGTCTCTTATCATGATGGTCCTGTTGTTGTTTATCTCTGTTCATCTCTCTTTTTCTACATCTCTATTTCCTCTCTAAACCCAATGCAGAAATGACATATGACTGTCTGACACAAGTCTGGTTCTGCTTAAAGGAAGTTCTTCCTCTCCACTGTAACTTGATAAATGCTGCAAAGAGCTTCACTCATGTGGATGAAGATGGGATAGGAGTGGGTCTTATCTTACATGATGGAGCCTAGTCTTTTCCCATCTTAACACTGGGTCTTTGTAAATACCTTGAAGAGTTGCAAATTGGCACTAAACAAAGATTGATTGGTTGATTATCATCAACGTCATTGTCATTTTCAATTTCCTTGAGTGATCCTTCCCAAAAGGATCAATAAAGTCAATCTAATCTATTCTAATTTAATCCACACCATAATCAGAAAGGAGGTGTTCATGATGGATCTGGGTCTTCAGCTTTTGCTTCAAGACTGAAAGGGATTAAGCAGATTGGATGGAGCTTTGTCACTTCAGAGTCGAGTTAGGTCGGAGATATATTTTCTTTGTAGTCTTGTGTTTACTTATGCGTCTGTCTGCGTCATGTGCATAAATATAAATAACTTGACTGCCCACGTCATTGGAGGATACCTCCAGCGGGTGCGGCATAAACCTTGGGCTGTATACAGCTACTGGATGTGTGGGATGTTAACAAGGCCGCGGCACTACTTGAGGAGGTTTCTTTACTGCTAATGCTGAGATCAAGGCAGAGAAAGTGACAGCAGCTGGGATGTAGGTCGTTTATAAGGCCACTTAATAAGCCTGGAGGGCCAATCGCGAGTATGTGTCACTGGTTGGTAATCCCTGCTGATGTTAACCCTGTTAGATCCACTCTACCTCGATACTGCCCCTGCTGGATATGAAAATACCGCACCTTTTGGCTTCATTTTTGAGAACGCAGACACACCAAACCAACACTGGGGCTACGTGGCGGTTACTGGGAGAACCAGTCGCCTATCACTGGCAGAGCACAGTAGGTGTGAGGAGGATTATACCTGCATGAAGGATTCCAGGTTGGCAGAAGCTGTTTTCATACTTACATTGTAAACAAGCTGCAAGGTTTTGAATTTGAAGCAAGTGGCAACTGGGAGTCAGTGGAGAGAAATAATGATGCTTAGGATTGGTTCAAAATGAGTCGTGCTGCTGTTTTCTGGATCATCTGCAGGTTTGAATGCAGACGTTTTGCGATGCTGCAAAAACCTGCACCTGCGATGCATGTGTGACAGGGGTCTGTCCGTCTGATCCGTCTAAATCCAACATTTTCTTCAGTGTCTCTCTTCCAGAATCTTTCCACAAGCTTGCCTTTTCAATTCAATGTGGACTTAGTTCCTGCGGATTTATCCCTGTTCAGGCTGGTGCAACCCATTACCACGCCAGGTGCCTTCACATTTTCGATTTCACATTCACTTGGCTAGAAAAGTAAACCCAAATATGTGTGAATGCACCTAACTGAAGAGAAGTGGGCTGATTTTTTTTTTTTCCTACAAAGGTGGAGTCGTCTTGTGTAGCCAATCAGGGAAGCAGCCGACCTCGGGCGCAGACACAGCTCGCAGTTTAACTCGAAAACAGCTGATGTTTCTTCTCCATGCTTCTTAAAGGTGGGGTAGGCAGGATTCTGTTGAAGAAGCATTTTTTTTTTGTGGTGTATATACAAAAAAGTTTTAATATTAGTCAATAGCTATGAGTTATTGATGACATTTGGGAATGAAACGATATCGCTGTGTTCTCTTATGTCTTTGTAGTCAACATTTTAATTTTGTTGAGCGGCCCGCTCTTTCTGACTGTAAACAAAGCCATTCTCCACCTCCCCCAACCTGATTGGTTGTGAGGTGGATGCTGCTCCCTCATGTTGTGAGGCACGCTCCATGCCCTCGATTAAAGTTCACGAGCCCAAACAAAGTTAGCGTGCTACAATATCAGACAGTAGAAACCAACCAGAAAGTACAGAAAACAAGCAAGAAAATGAACTAAATACCGGAGACTCTGGCAGAATAACTTAAAAAGGAAGTGGACTGGATAAGAGCTAAAAAGCCCTGTTACCTTACCTTTCTGCTGGACAGGTAAACGGCTTTAACAAAGTAAGCCAAGTGTCTGTAACAGAAGTGTTTCTTGTCAAACGGGACCTGCTGCATGTTGTAGCGCCACGAAACTGTTGACCTTGGGTCCTGAAGTCTGTCACTTTATCCTAGTTGTAGAAGTCCTGCAAACATTGTGTTTGCTGGTAGTCTGTTGGCATCTACAGTAGAACCGATGCTTTTGCTTTCGGCATTATATCTGAATTTAATTGGAACGATACGAGCGAGCATGAGCGTCTGTTTGAGGGCGGGGCTTGCTGGAGCAGAGAGGGAGGGGAGAGGAGGAGCTGAGGGGAAAACTGGTCGGGAGGAGTGGCGTTTACATTCAAGATTTCTCCCAAAAACTGGCACTTCCTCAGATCCTGCCTACCCCACCTTTAAGACTCGCTGTTTACCCTTATTGTGCAAAATATTGTCCTGTGATATTCTGTTCTCTAAACTACAACAATCTCTTGTGCAAACTGGTAATCAATTCCCTCAAACTGCGTAATTATACCAACAGAGGACAACTCAAACCCATCAGGCCGCTGTGGTTCCATCTTTATGTATTAAACAGAGGTAAAGCCTGTAATTACAGTCAAGACACATAGAGGATAGAGTGAAGTGTCTATGGATACAGGAAAATATTCAGCTTGCTCCCCTGTGAGATAAGAACCCTGCAATTAAGTCTCAACATGCTACTGTACATAGCAATCAGATTCACCAGGTTAAAACGCCTAATTGCATGGCATTGACAGGCAAAGCTCTCCCTGAATGAGCTCCCATAAGAAAGGACTTTGTGATAAATATTCTAACTGAGTTTATCGTGAAAGGTGAATACACAGACTCGGCTACCCGCTCTCTGTCGCGGCCTTGAGTTTCACGCAGGAGGGAGAGGATTCAGAGAGCGGGAGTGTTTTTGCTCCACAGGACTCTCCAGGCCTTCACAGGAAATGATTTATTCAGGAAGTAAGTGTAGCAGCGGGCCATGGGGCCTCCCCTGTCATCATTTAGGTGCATGCGCCCGCTTCATTTATCCTCCCCTTTTATTGATTAATTCATGGCCCTGATTAAAATTTCACAAGTTGCCAATTGTCCTTCACAACGTCTGACTCCCCTGTCGATCTGGAGCCGGTGGGTATGACTGCCCTCCTGATAATGGGAGAAAAGGTGGCTGCAGAGCGTTTCCTCCCTCATCACAGACCAGGCTGGACCAAGAGAGACTTCTTCTCTCTGAATATTTTACATATTGCAGCCCATTATAATCCGTCTTTTTTATGGTTACCCAGCGAGACATTCCTTAAATATTGATGTTATGGTAATTTATCAATAATTGCGGACTGCTGGGATAACAAGCCACATTTGGGCAAAGGAGGATATCAATTAAGCAGTCAGTTAGCTCTCTCTTACAGTGAGCAGTCGCTCTGCATTAATCTAAGATGTTTCGCTGTTGTGGGCGTCACAGGTTTTCTCAAGAGCTTTGAAATCTTCGGCCCTGAGAGAAGCTCCAAGGTGCAGCAAAGCATGCTTGTGATCTGAAGAATGACAGTAATTCAAATTAAGTTACTGAGATACCATATGTACATGTAACCGCCATTAGAGGCATGGTTGACGATCTGAGAAGCAGTTGAAAAAAACTGAGCCGTTGAGGCAGATTTGAAAAGAGCGTCCCACCCCCTGCACTCAAACCTCTCCCCTCTGTGCTCCACGATAACTCCCCCCGAACCTGTATTGCCTTACCCATGACACACCCCCTCTGGCAGAGCAAGGAGCCGGCCAACAGAAGATCCTACGCTAGCTTCAAATAGGATTCACCATGTCGGATTGCTGGTGACTAGCGGCAGTAAACGCCAGATCTGCTAGCTAGCATCATATGCAGCTGCCTGGACAGCTACAGTGTTAACATTGCAGAGACTAATAACAGTTTTTTTTTATGTAACATGTGCCACGATAAAAGGAAAAATTACCTGTTCAACAAAAACTCTGCTGTCCCGGCGTCTGTTTTCAGGCCCAAATCCTGGCAGAGCTTTCTCCACCACTTGAAGGATGACCTGACTTTTATCCGAGTTAGATTCCTCGCTTAGTCACATTCCCTTTTTGTCTCCCCCCTTTCTTCTGTCGGCTTGTGTTTTCTCGCACATTTTTTTTGTGTCTTTCTTCGTCACAGCTCCTGTAGCTAACGTAGTTAGCTAAAAGTAGCGTAGTAGCTGCTATGCTACTTATAGTCGCTCAGAACTCTGAGGAGGGCTGGGTGAGTGGGAGGGGACGAGTCGCAACTATGGGAGAGGGGTGTGTTGAATACAGCGAGGTGATTGGATGGAGTGGCGGAGCAGGAGATTGACCAATAGGAGTTGTCTGGGACGGGTGGCTCCCATTGGTCAATGTTTTTGCAGCCCTGCACATGTTAGGGTGAACAGATTTTTCCATTCTTTTTTCTCTTCACTTTGTGATGACTGCACTATAGGACCATGATCGCCAAATAAATGAGGTTCATAATAATTACCAATCTCTCCAATCGTCAACCATGCCTTTAACATGAAGGTCAATAGTTATGTCACTCAGATTTGTCACTCGTGTTTACACGAGACTTTTACTTTGTTTCTTGCTACTTCTGTCAAGAGGTAGAAATAAAAGTCGGGAGATAAATCAAAAAAGCCGAAAGCTTCACATTTTTACTTTGCAAAGCCTACAGTTCAAGCTAACGTTTATATAAGCAAAAGTTGTCTTAAACTTTATATTCAGTTAATCACCTATTTGCATGAAATGAGCGGGAAAACTTTTTATTCCTGCAAAGCTCACACTCCACACTGCAGAGACGTAGTCAGAACCAAACATGCCAGCTATACAACATAAAACCCTTTTCTATAACCAGACATACCTGTTAGGTGCTTTAAAATCACAGAAGCACGAGTACAGTTAGCTATTTTCATGGCTAGGTTGTAATTATCATCAAGCATGTTTTGGTCACCTTCCTGAGACCTATTTTTACTTCAGGACTGTGATGACTTATAGGCTCCAGTGGTTTCTGCCTGTGTTTCTGATATGAATACGTCACTTTGAGATCATTGATTGGTGGTATAGACTCAGAAAGTTGAGCCTTTTTTTTTAAATAATTACTGTAATTTGCTGTAATTCTGACTTACAGTTTTACGTCATTGTGGGGAAAAAAGTACCGCCTGGTAGAAACCAGACATTATCCACACGCATAATCACTCAAGTATTAAACGTTACCACACCTCCACCTTGGAAAAAGAGTAGGTCTCCTCCGCACATGTAGCAGGTAACAGCTGCAGTGATTTTTTTTTTCATTTGACAAGCAGGAAACCCGAGCAGAATCCGACTCATGCTGACCGCTCTAGAGTAAGAGAAAGATGTAGAAAGAGAGACAGAAAAACAGAGCAACAGCGGCAACTAATAAAACCCCATTATAACTGCAGTGCTAATAATAATAATGGTGAAAGAGTGTCATCAGCAGAAACAGCAAAACAATAATTAACTGATTGTTTAACAACCTTAATGATGGTAATACTGGGAGGACTAACAATGTTGATTAAAGCAGCTGGAGTTGAACAGCTCTAAGATTCGCATTAAGAAGAACAATAATGATGGTAATGATGGAAAGACTGCGACTTGTTGTTGTGGTAGTTGAAGTTGGACGAGGCAGCAAAGATCCAGAGGAACCAAACGAGACAGGAAAGCTCACAACCTATTGTGATCTGAAGTTTGATGTGATGGATCGGAGAAAGACAGCAGGAGAGCCGGAGAGGAGCTTGGAGTCCCAGAGACAGCATCTACGCTGACTTTAACCTTGCCCTGGTTGAGGGCTTTAAACCTGCTTTTAAAGATGACTGATTGTGTTGTTTTACTTCAGTGTTTTCACAAATATCATGAGAGTAATAACAATGATATTTTCTCTCTGTTTATACTATGGACAACTTGGTTCCGCCTTCCGCCTGTAAATGGATTTGAAGCCAAAAAGCTCTCGTGATTTTTCTTCATTTCCTGAAACCAGCATTGCACAGTAGCGTTGTATGCATTCGGTTCAAACAGCGTATCCCCTGGGTGAATTATGCTATCCCTGAACGCTGTATCAAGTGTCAATCATAGCAAACATGAACCCCCTAATAATGTTTAAAAACTGAGCTTCACGGAAAAAAGAGGACTTGAGCACAAACCAGTCTTACAATAACTACATGTCAACATCGCAAGCAGGGGGGAGAAAAATTTATAATTAAAATTTATGACCTATATTCCAGCCCGCCAACAGAGGGTGCTGTTCTCAGAGTGGCTTCACCCAGTGAGGAGGCAGACGCTGTCCATTCTATATACAGTCTATGGTAAGTAACAAAATTTAGCAACAAGACACAACTGGAAAACTGGAGAGTAAAACATCCCATATCCAATACTATTTTAAAACTTCCAATTTATGAGAACCGGAGGTATCTCTGACAGAATATAATTTAAAGGTATGCAAATAGCAAGCCCTCTAAAACTAATTATGCAGCCATATTTCCCTGTTGGAGATAAGAACTTCTAGGGAAAGCTATGATTTAGGATTTTAATTAGAGTCCAATTGCTGAGCAAGTCAACTCAACACATTTAATCACCATGTTCAGGATAAAAATACTTTTACAGGTTTGACGCCAAGTATGTTACTAAAAAGGCCGAGTGAAGACGATGAGCATGGACAAAGTCTCCCCTGGACGTTACAGCTAAATTATCCAGCATGTCCTGAACTCCTGCTACTTTCCCTTTCATGTCCCACTTTTCTCAAGGCCATGACATAAAACGCAAGGAATCCCCCATGACTGTGAGAAATCACTTTCATTTCTATGCAATAATGGAGTCAAAAGCTACAATTATTCCCACACTTCTCTGGCTGATTGCCTGTTATGCTGTGCTGCACGGTGCACTCACACACACACACACACACACTCTCACACACAGGGGAAAAAATCAGCTAAATTAACTCTGCAATCAGAATAGAAAGTCAGTTTCTGCAGCTTATAGATCAGTTTTATAACATGATTCAAGTCAAGATTCAGTCCTCATTTCTGCGTGCGTTCGTGTTGACCTAAATGTGTACATGACGTTAGCCGTGGTTTAGTCAGCAGCAGCCTCTCTCGTCTGTTTGAACTTGTTTTATCACGCTGAGCCACAAAAAGAGTCAAACATCAGCATGGATTACTGAATCCTGCAGCTCCCCTCCCCTGAAGTGATTGTGCTGCAGCTGTTTTTGTTCCCCTGCATGTAAAGAAATCAAAAATCATTCAATTTGAATTAGGTTTAAGTTTCAGTCACAAGATTTAGTCAGAGGAACTCAGTTTTCATTTTGGCCTCATTTAGTCAGTGTCAAAATTTTCCCAGGCTGTTTTATGATAGTTTTTAAATAAAGATATGCCTCCTGGTCGTAAAATTGTCCGTGTAAGGACAGAATATTTTATATGTTTGGTCTTTTTGGCTGAAAACATCTTCGTAACTTACACTCTCTCATGCCATAAAATGCCAAAAGCTTGTTTTGAAAAGTGCCACAAGTCAGATCTCAATAAAACAAACTTCCATGTCAGTACAAGGAGCTAAATTTAACTGAGCTTTGTAATGATTTAAGGTCTGAATGAGTCGTTAGAAAATATTAATGATATTTTCCAAGAAGGAGGTGGCATTACAGTTACACTTAATTTGAATCGAGGGTTAATTTAGTCTGATCCTTCGTGCTCTTTGTTGGAAAACATCTATTATTTATACATTTGTGGCATGAAGTTATTCAATGCAAAACCTTCTCATAACAGTTTTTCTACAGCCAAAAAGTTAACATACTAACAATCATTAGTACTTGTCAGCAAAGGTCACTCATCCGTAAAGTTTCGATGTGTCGTTTTGTTTTTCTTTCTCAGGGCTCTCAGAAGACGTCTGTCTCTTGTCACCATCAAAGTTTGGATTTAAAGTACAATATAACCTTGGAAACAACTGTTGACAGGAGCAATTAAAGCCCCCAGAGCTGCTTCCACACATCAGAGAAAGAGAGAGTCATTAAAAAGTTTTCAGCATCATTATTGTACACAGTTAAAATGTCTCTATAGCTACAGTAGATCATAATTGTTTTTTAACTACTTAAGGGCAACCGTCAAATGTTGTAAAAAACATGGTTTTCCTTCTGTTACAGCTGAGAAATGTGAAATGCTGATTGGTCAATACGGCGTGTCTCCGATCTGTCCTTTCTGGTGACAGCGTTAGAGTGAGTGTTGCTTACTGATTTTGGAGGACTTCTTTTTTTCTCATATAGTTATTTTGACACCCGTTTGTTGACAGTGGGAAGAACGGAAAGAGATGAAAATGACAGAGTAAAGGTGGGAGAGATTAAAGACACAAAAGCTGGTGATAAAAACAGAGAAATCTACAAAACTAAAGATGGTGCAGGAAGTAAACACTTAAAGGCGGGGTAGGCAGGAATCTGTTAAAGAAGCATCTTTTTTTGTGGTGTATATACAAAAAAGCTTTAAATATCAGTCAATAACTATTGGTTATTGATGACATTTGGTAATATAATGATATTGCTGTGTTTTGTTATGTCTGTGTAGTCAACATTTTAAAATTTCAGTGCTCCACTCTTTCTGACTGTAAACAAAGACGTTCTCCACCTCCCCCAACATGATTGGTTGTGAGGCAGACGCTGCTCCCCCGTGTCGGTCAGGAGCCCAAACAAAGTTAGCGTGCTACAATATCAGACAGCAGAAACCAACCAGAAAGTACGGAAAATTGTCTGAATCATCCTTTGGCCATGACTGCTGACACAAGCAAGAAAACGAAATAAATATCGGAGACTCTGGCAGAATAAGGGGTGCTTAAAAAGGAGGTAGACCACCTGGACAAGAGCCTTAACAAAGTAAGCCAAGTGTCTGTAACAGAAGTAAACCTGGGGTCCTGGACGATGTCACTTATCCGAGTTGTAGAAGTCCTGCAAACATTGTGTTTGCTGGTAGTCTTTCGGCATCTACAGTAGCACCGATGCTGTTTACTTTCACGTTGACTGGGCCCCACTTGTTATTATCTGTTTTTATCTGCATTATATCTGAATTTAATTGAAACGATTCGAGCGAGCAGGAGCGTCTGTTTGTGTCCTGCCTACCCTACCTTTAACAGAACATGCTTTGGGATAGAAAAAGTCAAACAAGTGTAGCGAGGGAAGCGAGTTAGCTCGGCTAAGCAGGTGACAAAGCAAACCATTACTATGTGAACGTATGAGACAGTTTACTATGGGGAAAACACAATTATACATGAATAAATAACACTACACCTATTTTAAATTGATTGTGATTTATGTTGTGCTGAAAACAACTTTTCACTGCTGCCTCATTAGAAGCCAACATGTGTTTGAGTGGGAAAAAGTAGCAGGAATCGCTCTGCGGAGTTACAGAAAACTAGATCATTTGAATATATCTCTTTAGCTTTGAGTGCAAGTGACCCTTTTTATATTTCCATAGTCTTTTTGAGGTTTCTTTAACGTTGTTGTCTCGGGCATTAAATGTGAAGCCCAGAAAGATTTGTGAATCTCTGGGATTTAACAAACAAATAAGCAATCTGTGAAAACTGGAGAGTCACTGTACGCATGGCAGAAGAATTATGTCAAATAAACTCCCGGCCGAGTATGTTAAACATTTCCTCTTCTGTTCAGAGAGGCACAGCATGGGAGCTGTCAGATGGGTGTTTAATAACTGAAGTGTTATCCAAACTGCAACCCTAAAATTAGTCACCACGTTCAGTTACCATGGAGAGTATCAGACAGGGCTTTGTCTGTGGAGAGACATAAATCCCACAGGCATGTGATAAACACTGCTAGATTAAAAACACAAGAGTAAGCTGGATTCATCTTTTTCATCTCTCTCTTTTGTTCACTCACAATGTTACGTCTTTTCTTGCTCCTTTTGTTCCTGTTCCTTCCTTTCTTCTTCTTACCTGTCGGACAGGACAGATGGACTCATCTCCCTGCCTCTCTCAGCTCAGCTTGCATCTCTGGCTTTTCTGTGTCACAGTGTCCTGTATGAGTGTTTTTCCCTTTTTTTCTAACTTAAATTACATTTGCACCTCGACAGAAAGCCTGAGAAAAATCTGAGATTATTAAAATTTAGTTTAAGCCAATATATTACCATGCAAGTGTCCATAAGACTTTTTGACTTTAGTGTTTACATCTAATCTAATCAAGCTCTAATATCTAAAGAGAAAATATCATATCGGTTTTGTAAGTGAGTTGTATAGAAAGTCAAATCTTTGTAGGTCAAATGTTGGTATTGCTTGTTGTGCTATTTAGGCCATGCCCACTGATCTATGGTCCTGTGTGCAATATTTTTTTTTTGTAGGACGCTCGGGGAAAGACCCGCCTCCTTCGCCTCTGATTGGCAAGAAAAGCTGGAAACATCATCACACGCTCAAGCCAAACGTGGGCTGTCGGCTCTGTGCATTGAACAGAACATTACAGAACATTATCACAATACTGAATCTCCTAACCCTCATCCTAATCCTAACCCGACAGACGATGACGTTTCACATCCATTAGGAAAAACAAATTGGAGCCCAGCACTTCTAACAATGGGTAACTCTAAGCATCCATCTTGGTTTTCCGACTTAACTGGAACGCGGTCAACTCGGGTATAACGTCATTCCCAGCTCCAACATCCGACTTCCAAGGAAACTGGAACGCAGCATAAGCCCTTCAAAATACTACTTCCTGTTGGATGGTGACTATGGCACCGCTATGGTAACAGAATTTGAAGAGGATTTTTGTGTTCTTTTAGGGTTTGGGGGAAGTTGAAAAGGAGGGATTGGGTGAATCATTTTGGCTATGACAGTGGTCACACAGACATAGTTTTGTTTTGGGGGAATTTGTCAAAGAATGGATGAATTTAGGATGGTACCCTCCATAAGCATAGGATATATTGTGATGTATGGCTGAGCTAGAGCATTTAACTTTGCTGACGACACCCTCTGAAGAAAACACTCCTGAAGATCAAAAACTTGTAGAGCTCCCCCTGCTGACTGGTTGTGGTATGCGTTCAGGGGTCAAACTACACAATTAAAATACACATCAAATAAACTTTTCTAAACATATTTTCTCTGCGGATAGTCATAGTCGCTGTTTTTTGTATTTTCCTAAAAGTTCTTTTAATCAGTAAGAAGTGACAGGAATATCAGCTCTGATGCCAAATGCATCTACGATCAGATAAGTTCCTCTTATCTTATCTAATGTAAATGCAGCACTTTCAGCGTTCCTCATTGAACACCGGTGTGAATCTGGCTCATCCAGTTAAATCTCTTTTGGCTCTAGAATAGAAAGGGACCAGGCTGCAGACACAGTGGTGCTTCATAGGTGCATATACGAGATCTCAGGATGTGACTCAGGCTGTCATTATCTTAAATTATTCAAGGATGGCAGGATTTCCAATTATGAAGTATTTTTCATAACCTGAGCATGGTGAACAGGGGAGGAGGTGTGCAGGTCAATTAAGGGAATGTCGAATCGTGGTACGATCGTCATTTAATTTGAATATTCCTCTTATTATTTTTGTTTGTGGTTATTACTTTCTATGGTGCTTGAAAGTATGAGGTATATTCAACGATGATCGTATTTATTATTCAAATATCTTTAAACCACACATGTGCTAATGGATGTCAAAGTGTGTAGATGTGTCTGCGGCAGAGCATGTTTGTGCAGGATTTGGGCTTCATTTGTTATAACTTGAGGAAATGAAGATGTGTCGTCTACTTCTATGAATTTACTGACTGCAGGTGATCTGTTTATTTGACAAATGTAAAGTTAAAGGTCTCATAACGCTGATGTGAAAACATGAATATGGACACCAGAGCTTTTTAACTAAGTCCTCAAAGCCTGCAAGCTAGCCTGGGGAAACAATCTAGATTTTTATCCGTTTTGTGGATACTTAATGGAATCTCAACTTTGATAATAAACCTGCATTTTTCTACAAGTTAAAGCCAAATTGCCAGAGGCTAATTCTCACTTTTCTGCTTCTTTTTTCTCTCCTTTTTGTTGTCCTCCCTTTCTTATCCTCCCTTTCTTTTCTTCTCTCCCTTCCTTGGATCCTCTCAGACGAAGGGTTGCATGCTGCTGCCCCTGCTGAAGGCTCCATCCGACTGTAAACGAATGAGTCTGTCACATAGCAAACAATCTGCATTCATCATGTCTTATCTGCCTGGGCCTCCGCGGCGGTAGTCATGATACCCGGCCAGAGCGAATGTATTTGGGCCCGTGGGGCTTGGGGTCAAGGTCTACGGCTCAGGGAAATAGCGCGCAGGCTCAAGGCTTATTTGGCGAGCTGGTGTTGGATTTGAGCACCAGGCTGTGGAGGAGGGGGACAGGCGGCTTGACTTATCCTTGATCGAGGATAACGTTCTCTTGCTCTCTTTTTTATTTGTGCAGGGATGGTTTACTGACCATGCGTGGCTTTTCCAGCATGCCCCGCTTTTGGATTCACACAGCTGCAGCACAGGGATCAACATCTGGAGGGATAATAGGATAACCAGGGTCTTAAACCCAAACATAAACAGGTTTGAGTGCCTTGCTTGAAAGCTTATCATAATTAATACTCACAATGAGGGAGGCTTTACCGTCTTTAATTTCCCCTGCAGTAAACTGGGGCATTTTTGCTCGCATCTTGTGCCGCATTGATGTGACGGAAATAAAAAAAAGCGTGGAAAAGTTGTGGGGAGTTTGGACTCATGCTGAGACACAGTGTGTGTGAAATCAGTGTTTACAGCCATCGATACCAAGGTGAAAAATTACTCCACCAAGACATAATAAGTCAAACAACACAGCTATCAAAGTTATTATCACAGACAGAAACATACAAGCGATTCCTGTAAACAAAGGCAGCGCCATGGTGCTCCTATTGATGGATTCTGTGATGAATATACGTTTCGACTGTCAAAAACCCGAGTCAATACCAGTGGGATAGCTGATAGACTTTCAATAGAGTTGACTGGATTTGATAAAGTGCTCGGGCATGATGTGAATATAGATATTTTAGCTCGTTCGATGCTGTGAAGGCAGCGGAACAACACGGATATGTGGGAAAAGGCTGACAACAAAAGCCGTTTTCTTTCCCTTGATCCACAAACGGTCTCCGGAGCAGCTCTGACACTCGTTTGTTGTTTAATTTTGGCCTTGAAACGCTAATGACGACAGGAGAAAGTGTTTATGAGCGCAGTGTTTGGGAACAAATTTGAATGATAGAGCTGGTTTGAAGGTCAGAGCTGCAGCGCTGACCAAACAACAAAGTCACTGACTCCACCTGCTGCCTGGCAGACCTCAGGCCGCTGATCACTCACCCACCCCGGTGGACACGCCGCACCCTGGATGACCGGACTACACCTCCCAGCTAGCCACTCTATCACTGCCGACAGCACTTGTGGGAGCGTGGGTAGGGAGCGTGTTGGAGGTCGTAGCCGAATGCACGGCCCAAATGAGCCATCTGGGGACGGTTGTGGAAGGTAAAGGAGAGGTCAGAGGTCACGTGGACATTTCGCCCGACTGACTTGATGCGAGATGGGACTGTATGGAGATAACAAAGATGAAGAGTGGTGGAGATGGCACATGACACACGGAGGGTTTGAGTGAACTGTGGGTGTATTCATGAGAAAGACTGTGATGGATGTCTGCAGGTGACCATTGCAAAGTTTCGCCAACACACTGGCCTCAGTCGATGCATACTGCTTCATAAAACTCCCATCTTCTTTGTGTTCTTCTTTTATCTTCCTCACATGCAGAGAAAAAGGCAAATGTTGGGAGAAGAAAGAATAAATCTAAAGCCTATTCCACAAATCAATTTTTCATTTTCCCCTCTTTTGTATCCGAGTGAATTATATATGATACCCTTGAAGTATCAAGCAGAAGTTAATATAAGTGCTCTGTGATTATTCTTTTGTCGAATGCGCGCGCGTGTGTGTGTGTGTGTGTGTTTCTTTTCCATAATTCAAATCGCTAAAGGGAAGTTAGTCGCTGCAGGGGGGTCATGCAACACTGCACCAGGAGACTCCAGCTTCCAGCTTGCACAAGCTAATTAGCACCTTGAACAATGTTCTCCCAAACAAATTGAGTTAACCTGTGTTTTAATTCAGTTTGGCCTCTGATTGACTTATTAATGCTGTTTTTTTTTTTTTTCGGCTTTTTAAAGTGGAGTTAAAAAATGCCTCCTGTACTGTGGTTTCTTCTGCTTCCTGCTGCGATGTAAATGGACTCTCACTAAGACAGATAACCCTCCCTGCGCTGATTGTGCCATTTTGAGTGTTTCGGTCCGACTCATTGCATTAGCATTTATAATTAGCTATGGCACTATGACAGACAATATCTAAAAGCAGTGGCCTTTAAGCAGATTTTCACTTGGCCCCTAAACAAGCTCGGTGCTACAGCTAATGAAGAGCGGCTGTGGCTGTCGACAGTGAAACACTCCATTCTGTCTATGACTGATAGGGACACTGCTCTACTAATGCATATTTAATTGTGTGAGCCATTACGAGGCTGGAATATTTCAATTACATACATGCATTATACTTCCCTTGGAGGAGCAGCTCTGTTTAATTTGATTCAGTATAATTACTGTAAAATGAATTTTAATTGTGATATCCAGCACTAAAATAAATTGCCATATATCTCCAGCTCCCTGCAGTGAGGTGACTTTTCATTTGGATTTAAAACATCGCAATCAGGCAGTATTTTTCCAGATTAAGAAAATAGAGTCCATCTAGATAGTTGTGTTTAAGTGAAGGCATGAGGGAAGTGTGACATCTATTAACCCACTTTGCAGAGGATCCAAACCCCACAGTGGGAGTCTGATCTCTGAGGGGTGAAGTTCCGTCTAAAGTTGGTATTTGAACATAAAAACGGGTCTCATTTTGTCCCCCTGTTTTACCAACAACAGACAGCGCTTTCACACAAATCCTAATTGGCTGTGTTGTTTTTTCCTCTGCAGACTTCTCAAGATTACAAAGAGAGTCAGAGCAGCCTGAACATCTGCCAGTTTCATTACAGTTGTCTCTTTTAAAGTGACGCTGAAATCCGAGCGTGTGGAAATTTTTCTGTGCGACAATGAAATATATTCATCCCCATCTTTCTTTCCCTCCCTCTGTCTCTTTCTCCATCAGTGGCTTCTGTTGTCCGAGTGGATCCAGCAGGTTCCGCTGGGTAGAGATGAGCTTCCCCCTATTGGAAAATCAGGAGACACAGCCGCCTCATAATTAGATTTGCTTTCTGTGTGGCGCCAGTCCCTTCAATCTAATCTATTTATGCATTCCCTCTTTCAGGCCTCATTGAGATTCTATCGCCTTGTATTTGTACCCTGCCTGTCAAAACGGCCTTCTTTTCCTCACAATTTTGGGCTCATTTCACTGGCGGAGATGGGCGATGATTGCCCGCTGGTCTCATTGCAAATGCAATGTGCTGGAACTTAAGAGGCTTCTCCTCCGTCTTTAAAAAGACTGCAGTGTGTGTGTGTGTGTGTGTGTGTGTGTCAGTGTGCGACTTTGCATGTTTGTTTAGCAGGAGGAGACATATGCACAAGGATGTGCAATGGGTGTGTTTTTGTTTTTGTGTATTTGTGCCTGTGTCCCTTTAAGTATTGCTTTGGGGATCAATAGGTTGTCTGTACGTGCGAGTGTGTGTGTGTGAGAGGTGCAGGGACGTGGTTGGTGCATGAAAGGAAAGGACACAGTGAAGTGTGTTGGTTGTAGTAAGAGTAGAAAAAGGGGCTGAATGGGAAGATGTGCGTCATCCTACCAAAATAGATCTTTTTTTATTAAGGTTTTAACTTTTGAATTACAAATTTTTGTGCTTCTCAGAAAGATTTTTACATAAAGAGCACCATTTCCCCTGATGAAACATTACCTCTAAAAGTTTTCTTTTTAGTCTGGCTAAGTTACTCTTATTAATGATTAACATTAAAAACCAGAAGCACAAGCATGCAAAAATCCTAAAATCAACAAAATAATAAAAGTTTCTTACCACAACCTGCAACAGTGGCAATATGAACTTAAAGGGATATTCTGGCGTAAAATCAAATTAGGGTCAAACACACCATAACACCGAATTAGACACCCCCTTGAGAGATAAATGTTGCTGACTGTTTGCTTCTCTTGTTATACCAACATTAGTAACGCCCGCACGATAGCAATACACAGCAGTCTCAGAAGTCAGGCGCACAGCTCAACCAAAACGCCACTCTATAACCACAAATAATGCTCAGAACAGCACCTAACTTCATCAACAGTACATATAGGGTCCCAGCCATAGTACTAGCCACCAAACATCTTTTTAGCTTTGCCTGATTTCTTTAGCAAAGAGACTGAACACAACTCACCCACTCTCTTCCAGCAGTCGCTTGTTTGTAGGCGTAGCTTGGACGAGTCCGTCACCGCCTGCAGAGTGGTAACGCAGCGTGGTGATGCAGGTCAAGGAAGAAAATTTATGATCATTTCTTTATCATTTCCTTGAAGTAATAATCATCATATTAATCATTTTTGCACTGCAGACACGGTCATTCTTCTATGCATTTCCATGAAGTGATCATAAATATTCTTCCTTGAGCTGCGAAACTCTTCTGCACTTGGTGATCGACTCGTCAGGGCTCCCCCACAAACAAGCGACTGCTGGAAGAGAGTAGGTGAGTTGTGTTTAGTCTCTTTGCTAAAGAAATTAGGCAAAGCTAAAAAGATGTTTGGTGACTAGTACTATGGCTGGGACCCTATATGTTCTGTTGATGAAGTTAGGTGCTGTTCTGAGCATTATTTGTGGTTATAGAGTGGCGTTTTGGTTGAGGTTTGTTTATGGCTCCTCAGACTGCTGTGTATTGCTATCGTGCGGTCATTACTGTAATTGGTATAACTAGAGAAGCAAGCGGTCGGCAACATTCATCTCTCGACAGGGTGTCCAACTCTGTGTTTGATCCTAACTCAATTTTACGCCGGAATAATCCTTTAATGTCATGGATAATGTAGAATGAAAGGGCAATTATGCACATTTGAATCCCAACAGAGACCAGGATGCAAAGCAGAGGCGTCTTGCCTCACTTATTATGCAGCTAGCAACAAAAGCATAAACAAGTTGAAATGGAATATTAATTTAATTATGATTTATTGATTAAAAATGGTGCTAAAAAAGCTCCCCCTGATCCCACGGTCAGTCTAGCTCTCATCAGCCTCCTTGCGCACAAATTAATATTAAAGAGAACATTTCGATTCACAGTCAGATTAAAACATCAACCTTCCTCTCTTATGATTTCAGTCAGTCTTTACCAGCATGATGTCGACTTTATAAATGACGGGAAAAAAAACTGGCAGCGAAGCAGGGGACACTTGAGGCGATGGGCATGTCCTTACCTCTCTCATCCAAATATGGCCACCTCTGCTATCCCCCGAAAAAGCAAAATGAGGATGATGAATGCGAGGCTTCAGGGAGGTGGTCCATAAATCAATGGGTCGTGTAACAGAAGCACAGTCCACTTTATAAAATCAGTCCAGACCATCAAAACTTTAGCAGCAGAAGCCCTGAGTCTTATTTTCGATGGACTTAATAGCTTCACGGGAGACGCTGACCACCTCCAGTCATGCATATACAATAATGGTTACTAAATTACAACTAAAACTGGGCGCTTTTTTTCTTTCGGCAACCCAAATTGCTCCTGAATTGCTGTAAATGAGATGAGATCATGAATAGATAGGTATCTTTGCATTTTGTACAGCTGCTACTACGGGTATATAAAAAAGATGAATGTGACATGTAGCATTAAAGCGCTTTGACCTGTGAGAAGACCAGAAAAGCCCTGCTTTAAGGCTGTTTTCTCTTACTAGCATACACAGGATTACAAGACATGAAATGAAACAGAGCAGCGTTTCTTCGTGTGCCTGTGTGCTTGAGCAGCTATGCCTATGTTATTTGTTCACATGAAAAGAAGAGAGCCTCACAGTAAACAGGATCCAGGTGACTTGAGGCGGTTCCGGCTGTCTCAAGTGTTTCACTGCGTGTCTGTCAGCGGTGAAACCTGTCGCAGTTTGTTGCCAATCCTATCAGCGTGAATGGCGATGTCCCCAGAAGGGCATGGCAAGGCTTCAGTACATCCGCACAATAAATTACCCGATAACAACAATGAATGCTTTTTCGTGACAAGTCCTTTGCTGTTCTATCATTGCCCAGCTGACACCACCTCCTGTGCCAATCTGACATCAGTCCACATTCAAACCAAATCAGGCTTTGCGGTGAAGCCATCTGCACTGAAGGACACGAAAACAGAAAGCATGCTGAGAGTGAAGGTGAAAGAACAACTTGACTTCTCGCAAGTATTCGGTTGACGTAGAAGGCAGAAGAAATATCAACCTGAGTGACTGATCAACACACTCTGCAAACTTGAGGCCGTAATTCAAATCTCTTGTTTGTAAAAGATGTGAGCCGTATTGAATCTTTCCTCTGCAAAACAGCATCTTGAAAGTGACAGATAAACAAGGACTGTGTGAAAATGTCACGTGAGGGTGTTTGAAGATGTCCCCTAACTGTAAAGCTGAATTTAGTCCAAAGATGCGGCCATGCTGAGGAACTTTTCTCTCACTTACAATTTCAGTCCCTCACCCTAAAACCTTCCCCCCACTGAAATGGTGATCCTTCACATCTCTCTTTCCTCCTCCTCCTTTTATTCCCTCTAAATAGATTTCTTTGCCAATTTGACTCACCGTGTTGCTAGTTTATGCCCCCTCGTGGTGGCACTCACAACATGAATAAAGGGACCGTGAACAGCAGTCAAATGGCCAAAGAGGAGGTTAACAGCTGTGAAAAATACTTGTGAAAAAATAGAAACGTGCCAGCAAAAGGAATGCACTCAAGTCTAGAGCGATGGCTTCACAGCCTGCAGAGTCTTAGCTGATAATTACCTCCCTTCTTACTGTCAATGAGTGTGAAATACATTCCTGCAAACTAACATGATGCACGAGACCCCCATCTGAGCTCGTATGACAGGTGTTTTTACTGAAGGCTACAGAGATGACTGAAAAAGAGCCCGTGGTTATAACACCGACTGTGGCTGTTATGAGTAGAGTCACTGAGCATCTTAATAGTTCGTGTTTTCAAGTTTAAGCGTACAACATTAACAACACAAACACACTGGGCAACCTTAAAGGTCTCCTATTATGGCTTTTTTTATCAGGTCTAAATCAGTCCCAGAGGTCCCACAATAGTCAATTAGAGGTTTGTTGTCTATTTGTGGATATCAGCCAGCCTGTACCCTCCTCTGTTTTAACTCCACTGAGAATGGACTGATTCTGCACCTGTACCTTTAATTGATTACAAGCTGTGTGTAACCTCACTCTTCCTCTCCAAGGCCACTCTGAGCTGCCGGCACCGCCACAGTGGTCCAGGAACGGTAGTTTGAAGATCTTGAAGACCGCGGCTGGAAGCACCAGCCTGCCTCCGTGCCCCTGAGGAACCCCCTCTGCTCACGGGAATAAAAGTAAATAGAAGCAAGTCTGAAGACAAATACCAACGATGGTAAACACATCGATTGCTGCGATTGCAGCCAAAGCGCTGGTCATACAGGCGGCGGTAAAGCAACATAAAATGGTAAAACTTACAGCTTCCATGTTTGAAGTTTGGTCCCTGACACCGACAGTCGCTATGGACTCAGGTTTTATCTTCAGCTTCTTAGCAAATCCTGCTTTTAACACCCCCTCTTTGGTAAACCCATCCGTGGTAAAATGGTTAGCACACATACAACATTTCTGGAGTTGTTAAATAAAATTAATCCATTGGGGCCTGGTATTGCTGTACCAGAGCGGCTTATGTGAAGGGAAAAAATGGCAGACGCAACCTCAGCTAAGAAGTTTTAGAGGGCTGGGCAAACGATTATCGGGGCCGTGCAACCAACATGTAGGAGAGGCTTATGTGGTTATGTTGTCACACCTGCACAGCTCTTCCATCCACCTGTTTGCGCACTTGTTTTCAGAAAGGAGTGGAAGAGAATTAAATTTTTTATGTCGGGGGCTGTCGGCTTCGAGGAGATGCACATTATTGGTAGAAAACCGCCCAATAGGGGATTTTTCATAATAGAGGACCTTCAATCAACCTGCCGTCTTCTTGTCTGAAGTTAAACAGGTGAAAAAAATCTGAGCATCCTACAGCGGCTATATGCTAATCACCCGTGTTAATAAAAAGCCAGGCTGTCAGCCTGTTTCTGCATATGTTCAGATCTCTCGGGCTTGTAATGCAGCTCTGCTTCCTGCGAGCTGAACGCAGGAGCACCGTTGAGCTGGAGACACTATTACAGAGAGTGATGGTCTGTCTGACAGGGGCTTCTGTCACCACTTGCAGGAGGAGTCAACCAACTGAACAGTCTCTCAGGGACGGAGCAGCGCTGCTTGTGCCAGAGGGATAAACACTGTCACTGGTTGCTTTTAATTTTACTTTGTCTTGTTGAGCATTTGTCAGCCGAACTGCTTGATTGTGGTCTCTAAAGCATTATCGTCTTCTGCCATGACATGTATTTACTTCCTGTTGTCTAACTGTGAGAGCTTTTGTGGTGGCGTTAACCACTCCGAAAAATAAGACCAGATTATTTCTGTTGTGCGGTTCTCACGTGATGAACTCATGATCTCATCTGTTGGTTTATTAACATCCAGATAGACACTCAGCTCTCGAGTATCCGCGTCTTCCAAGTCACCTTTGCGACAAACTCCGAGTTCACGGGAACACCTTGAACTTTCACCTTGGGATACTTTGCAAATAAGATTAGAGCAATTTAATTAGGCAGAAAGCCGCAGTAATAAAGCCATTAAATTAGTCGCTGGTGCAGGGCGACAATGGCGAGGAATCCGACTAATTAACCTGTGTCTCTCAGACTGCTGCAGCTCGGCCTGTCATAATGACGCACGCTTGATGCTGCAACAACCCACATGTCCTGACCCTGTCCAAAGCACTTAAATTCTCATCTAGATGCAAAATTGGCAAAGTTAATTTTATGTAAATATACAACGTGTGAAACATCCACTGGATTTTATCCAACCCTCTAAACATCTGACAGGCATTAAATATAAATAGTGTAAGAATGATGACTAAATGCACTGATTACAGGCTTAGTTTAGATTATTTCTGACTTTATCTTTGAATGAAGGACAAACCAAAAACATTTATTTATTCTACTTGAGATTTAGTTGACTTCGCTAAAGTAATCATGGACTTGTGCCGATGTTTATTCAATAAATTCTCGCTTTCTTCTGAAGCGATCGCAACCTCAACATAACCTTTGTTGAACAAAAAAATGAAAAATACATCACATTTTGCTCAGTGGTGCAGATTAAAAGCACAAAATCTTCTTTTAATTGGTTAGGATTTCAGTGGATCAAGCAATCACTACCCTTCTTTATCAGTCTCAAATAATTGACCCAACGCGCCCAAAGCAGAGTCAAACAGACGAGGGTTTAAAAATAAATCCTGACTGAAGAAGTGACCTTGGCTCTGCTGCAGAAATAACATCTTTTGGCACATCACCTTGTAGACCCTTATCTACATGATATCAAACAAAAAATAAAACACTTGAAAGTCATTATTTATTTTCTCAATATGAAATAGTATTAATCACTCTGCCTGTCATATCTTCCTCAAACTACAGCTAGAGGGCAAGCTAGCACAGAAAACCCTCTAACTCCATATCTCTAAGGGATGAAGGATGAACTTTCCTGCCTACAGTGTTGCTTAAAGCCTTAATGTTCACATATTATACTGTAATATATGTAAAGGCTGTTCTGTGTGCATGCATGGCACCATATTTCCTCCCTTTAAATGATGTGAAGCACCATTTAGATTTTTGATAACATATCCTGACATCTGCTCTGCATGGTTTAGATTCACATACATACTGTACACTTACACGCAAACAAAGGAGCATAAAACATGACATCTCAGAGCTTTAACATGAAGGTCTGAGCAGCTCTCAGTGTTTCTGCTGGTCTCTGACACGGTATCTGTTTTGGGTGGGTAGTGCTCATGGCATGCGCTGGCTGACTGCCGCACCCATGGGAGCATGCGTAGCCCCTGGCATTGTCATTCTCCATTGATCAGAGGGGAGAGGCTAACAAGGTCTCCAGGCTACACACTGCTCTCTGCCTGCTGTTACAAACCTCCCTCTACTCCTCAGTCCGGGGCTGAGATTTAGAGCTGTTACACTCGGGACAACTGAGCGACTTATTCTGTGGCCCGGATTTCCTCAGGGGAAATTACTTTCCATAAAACCAGTGGTTTATTTTTTGCATTTATTATCACCCTTTCTTTGGATTTATTCACAAACTTAATTGCAGCGATGCAGTTTTGCAGTAGCATCTTTAAAAACAAAGTGAGAAAGTTGTTCAGAAGAGAAAAGATGACCTACACAAATATCCTCTTTGTAAGTTATCCTGTCATTCTGATGACTGTTGAGCACACAATTTTCATGCACAATAAGAGGCCGTGTCCACCATGATGTTATTTTTTTTAATGCTGGCAGTGCCCACAACCTCAATTTCAAAGCCCTTTTCACTGGCGTTTACTGTTGCCAGGTTATGAAAATTGCCCCGCAGCAATTCCACTTCCCTTAGAGGCAGTCGGGTCTGTTTTAAAACGCTTTATATGCTACTAATTAGCTTTCATTCAATAGCACTTTGCAAAGCCACCAAAAAACAGTTGATAGAAACTGTGTCATTAGTAGCAGCTCTAAGTCTGGGAGCTGTGCCTCAAAAAACAAGCGGTCACCTTATCCGCTGAATTCACCTCTGTTAGAGGTTATCGGAGGTCCCGCCCTTCCTTCCATTCTTCATTCTGATTGGTCTGAATCGATAAGCAAGGGTGCTCAAAAAGTGTACTTTTTTCAATTGAGAGAGACGCGCCCAAAATCACTCGACGTAGAGGGTGTTTTGTGTTGAGGACATTGAACACCAAAGGCTAAAACATACAGGATGCGTATTTGAAGCGTGGCAGCAGTGTTGCGTATCACACAGCAAATAGGTTCCCATTCTAATCAATCCAGCAAAGCATACAGGACGAATATCAGCTCCGTCGCAGCATCGTATCGAGAGCAGCAATGCTAAAGATACGCGGTGAGTCTAGACAGGAAATCAAGCACAAAAACAACGTATGTCATCCGGTAGTTAAAAATAAAACACCATGTGCAAACTTCCAACTGTGTATCAGTTCGTGTGGATGAGAAATACTTCCTGGTTATGGATTTATCAGTAACACAGAACAATCTGATGGTCAATCCCTGATCCATGTGGACCCCAACAGGACTTTGAACTGCTAACTCTGTCTGAGGGTACCAGCACACCATAAAGGAACATAGTTAACTTTATTTAACACGAAAAAACCTGCAACAACCGAAGCTGTTAATTGTTGTTTCCACTTTACTGAGTCCGGCTGACCGGGGCTGCAGTACGCTGCCGCCACGCTCCAAATACCTATCCTATATACGATACCTAATGCTGCAGAATATGGAACAGGCTCAATACGGATCCTGCATGTTTTTGGCGTAAAACTATGGCACTTTAGTGATCAGTTCTACACCTCAGTCTATAATCTCCTTGTTTCACTGCCATGACTTGTTGCTCAGCTCGCAGTGCATCAGCTGATCCTAACACCAGCTACAACCAACTGGCAGCTCAGTTAATAACCCTCCTCCTCCTATCTGGCTGGCAAACACCAGAAAGGGCATCTTATTTATACTGCCCCAGCTTGCTTTCGGACTTGTTGAGTCATATCTGGATTTCTGCAACTCTCCCTGTCTTGACTTTTTCATGAATGGGAGATGTGTTCTCCCCGCTGTTGGCTTTGGCTTTCCATGTAAGCACGTAGAAGAACATAATGAAGCCAAATGACTAATGCATGCAATTCTCTTGACCAAAGAGGTCCAAACTGAACCTCGATGGATGTCAGAAATCGAAAAACTACTTTGTGATTGGTGACAACGACACAAATGTGTAAGCAGCATGTTGATAAATCATACCATGATAAAACTAATGAGGCGAGGATTTGAAATTAAGTTGCTGCCCCAGTGGATGTCCCAGTTAAGCAGCTTGCAATGGTTGGCTCCCTTAGTGTGCCATGCTCGTTAACTCCGAACTCATGTTTAAACTCGTCTAAAAATGAAACCACAAAGCAACACGGATTTGCTGTTGCTCATTTGTTGCCGAATTTTCACAAAACTTAGTGAGAAGGTGAAGCATGAACCGAGGGAAAGCTTGATAATAGTGGTATGAGTGTTTGGGCATGTGGATATCACTGATGCTGCTGGTGAAGGTGTCCTCTCTCTCTGAGTGCTTGACTAGTTAAGTAATGAGACAAAGTGACCCAGAAAACAACATTCACACCGTGGGGGAACGCTGTCAAACCATTGCCTCAAAAATAATCCCTGTTTAAGTCCTCCTCTCGTTCACTTTGTTCTGGCGTTAACACCGCCAAAGTGCTCTCCACTGAAGTAAAACAACCATTAGCAGGGAAAAACTGCCATCATGGATATAAGAAAAGTTACGTGCGGTGTGTAGCTCATTAGATTGCCTTCACACCATCAAATCCAGTGCACTGATCCCGGCCCCCTTATACCTGCAACCTGCATAGCAATCATCCCTCCCAGTGACCTCCTCGTCCGACCCGCCGCTTGCCCTCTCTCTGCCCGCTTCCTCATTAGTTGCTGGCTCTCTATGAGGAAAATCCATTAGTAATCCTGCTATCTCACACAGCATGAATCTGGATGCTTTTTTTTTTGTCTGCAGCGGCTCAATCATTCACCGCTTTCTCTCTAATCTGCATGCACACAGACATAATCACACAGCAAACTTTTCACGCTGACATTTTTAAATTTTTGCTGTCACTATTCACACTCCTGGCGCTCTGTTTGTCTCTCTCCACGCGCTTCTCTTCCTCCTCGTGTCTGTGAAATACCCGGAGAGCACACATACACGCTCCCACCCACGCAATCCTCTTCCTCTGGCATACAGAGCGTCTTTGCCGGGTAAGATTGTGGTCAGAGGATGTCACTGCCGTTTGGATCTAAATTGGCCGGTCCTGAACTCTGAGCTTCAGAGGATAGCCAGAGGTAACAAGCAAGGAGAGGTGAAGCCCTTACAATACGCAAAGCCTGTCGTTCATTAAGTTTGCAAAGGAACTTTGCTGCTCACAGCATGAGGGAGAGAGCTGTATAATCAGACAGGGTGTGAATATTCAGGTGTACACTCTGTATGTCTCATGTGAATATCTTTGTCATCCATCTACAAAACGAGTGAAGTGACAGCGATATCAGAGCACACAGATGGCTGAGAGGTACGATGTGAGGGAGCGCTGCGATAAATTAGAACATTTTCAGCCCAAGAATTTCAGACAGATTTGAAGAAGTACTCTAAAAATACAGATTACCTGACAGTTTACAGCCTGAAGTCTCATTTCGGAAAAGGAAACATAACAAAGAAGCGCTACTAACTGAGACGAATTGAATCAGATGGAGTAATCACACAATTAATCTATTTGTTACCTGTATCACCCTGAAGCTTTATGATACAAACCAGACTAAATTACACCAATTATGCTGCTGTGATAGATCTCAGGCTTCTCATCTTCGTCCTCTAATTACTTATTTTTGTGTGGCAATATTTCCTAATTGAACACGTCAGAAAAATGCATTTAGCACAAACAAAGCGTGGCTAATTGTGGTGTGAAACAATGGCAAGGGTGAGGAATGAATTAGCGGGGATGACATGTACAGTATGTGCAGTACACTGTGTGTGTGGGAGGAGGGGGGTGAATGTGTGTCCAGCTGTAGGGAGTTTAGGGAGGATTTACAGCTACGATCCAGGGACATGTGTGTGTGTGTGTGTGGGGGGGTAATCGGCTACTTTGTGGTAGCGCGTAACCCTAACCCCAAAAACTGTTGTTCGGGACTGCGCACATCATATCATGATAACCGTTGTTCTAGTCTACACTTTTTTCTTGTTCATGAAATGCTGAAATCTGGGACATTTCCGTGGACAGCTTTAGCCAGGATCGGGTCATTCAAAACGGGGATTGTCACAGCAAAACGAGGACATCTGGTCACCCTACGGTTGGACATAGTTTGTAGTCCTAGCCTGGTGTTGCTAAACCTTTCAACCAGCCTATATTCATTTTTAAGGCTGCTGGGTCTGGATCTGGACAGGAGTTTTAGATCTGTCTTAAGGAGGAGGTCTGTAAGGTAAAGTGACCAGATGTCCCAGATTTCCGGGGATGGTCCCCATATTGGATGACCTGTCCCCTGAAATGTCCCAGATTTAAGCGTTTCATGAATGAGAACAAAAATGTTGCCTGTAGATTAGAACAACGGTTATTATGGTAGCCGAGTAGGTAGGAAGCACAAGTAAGCATGTTTCACGCAGTCCTAAACAATTTTTTCGGTGGGTTATTATGTTGTTGTTGTTGAGTTGTTCCAGACTTGCCTTGTTTCTAATGCTGCATTCCAGTTACCTCAGAAGTTGGCTGTTGGAGCTAGGAATGACGTTACACCCAAGTTGACAGCGTTCCAGTAAACAAGTCGGAAAACCAAGATGGACGCCTACAGTTAGCTGTTGTCAGTGGTTGCTAGTTGTTGTTAGCTATACCAGTTGTAAACAACGCATAACTCAGTACTCCTACAAACACCATAGCACCAGTTAGATGTTGGGCAGTACAACATGTACCACTTGTTTAATTTCACAAAAACAAAACAGAAGTGCTAATAAATAATACAAGAGCTTTCACTGTTACTCTTTACTGTTGATGCACTGCGCTGCCATCTTGGTCTATAATGCTGTCATCAAGTCGGGGTTGGTGAGGATCGTCTGACTTTCTGAGTTGGATGAATTTCCGACTTGGAGCTCGGAAATTCCGACTTCCAAGAACAACTAGAACGCAGCATAAGGATAAGGTCCATAATTGATCAAGTCTATCTGAAACAGTCGGAGGAAGTTGTCTAATAATCACTGCATTGTCCAAACCACCAGTACGAGCTGGTTCATGGTCTGATCATGCTAGACCCCAAAAAAAAAAAAAAAAAAATGGAGAAATTTGGGAAATCTTTCCTTGTACTAACCAACAGGATCAGACAGGACTGATTTCAAGATATGGGGGTTTATTCAAGCTGTCGCTTCTTCTGCATTAACATATCGACTAAACCTCGATCTAACCTTGTCATTCCCTCCATTTTAACCCACCACAGCTGGTCCTTCCCCCATTATACACTCTCTGGGGTTAAATACACCTAGCCTTGATTCAATCTAGCTGTTGATCATGCAGATAATGACTTTAGGGAGCTAGTTAGACCTGGGGACAAGAAGAGGCTCTGTACACATGACAACTAGCAGACGGGATAAAGAGACCATTGGCCTTGCCAGGATGACAAGCTGAAGGCGTGCATATTCAGCGGACAGCCTCTTAACCAGAGCTTTAGTTCACAGATTATGTGGGCAGGGTAAGGCTGTGTGCTCATGTTTAGATTCATGCACATGTGTGTTTCTTTGTGGAGCAGCATGTGTTGTAAATACATGCGAAGGCTGCAGGGGAGCGGATTTCTGCTGAACTCTAATTGTGTCATGTATAATATTCTCAAATGCCACCTCAAGCAAGGTCAACCTCGCTCTTTATGTCACAGAAAAGCAGAAAAAATTCAATCATATGTTGAAGTGCTGAAGTTCTGCGGCTGTCCCTGAATCTGCAAACTGTACTTGTGTACTGTAGATTTAGTGCATGAATAGTAATGGAGGTCAGCTCATATTGAGTCACAACCAGGCAGAAATGTTCCGACACTCACTTGCATGAAGTCTGAGATGTCAGAGCAAATTTACTTGTTCTCGCCCTCTGTCTCCCTTTATTTCATGCCCTCGTTTTTTCCTGTGCTCCATTTTTTTTCGCTTGCAAAGGAAATTTACAGAGATGCTCGTTCTCCAGGGATGACACAGTTTCCGTCCTGTCACACTCTAGCACCCACCAGCCGACAACCCTTGGTCTAAATTATACCCAGGTAATATCAGACCTCATTCTCAGTACAGCTGGTAATTACAGAGGGAGAGAGGTGGTTAACGAGAGAATAACAGAAAACATCTAAATTCACATTTTCACTTTTGAATGAAGTGTCATCTTGTTTTTGTGTAAATGAGGGATAAAAATTCAATGAACAAACTTAAGATCCTAATTTCCCACAGCAGCATAATGAATATAACACAAAGTATTGAATAACTACAGAATATATTGAGGCGTTAAATGCTAATCATGAATAAATATATATGTAGTTATACAGAGGGAGGCTCAAAACTACTAAATTTGCAAATTCAGTGGCAAGATCGTGACCAGGAACATATTTCAGATTCATGGTGTCCAGTTTTCAGCCTGCTTATTCCCAGTGAGAAAAACAAGCAAGTCCACATAGTATCGATTTGGAGCCGTGACAGGTCACAATCTGTAGAAAACACACGCTCTGAGGCTCTGGTGTTCCTGGTATCTAAAGATGCTGGTGTGTCAGCTTTGCCAGACCAATAAAAACTCCCTGCATTGACTTTTTCCCCTGTCTGTCAGCTCTGTATCGCATAATGGGCTAGAACCCTGGTGAAACGAGTCGTAGAGGCTAGGGATTTACGACCTATACTGCAGCCCATCACTAGAGGGTGCTGTTCTTGGGGTGGCTTCTCTCAGCCAGGAGGTAGACGCTGTCCATTCTATATACAGTCTATGGTTACTACCTTGAGTTTTTTCTATCCGTTTGATACAAAGTAGACGATCCGAGAGTCACAAACTCAAACAGGGAATGTCGCCACCTACTGTTGTGGAGGTGGAATGCTCCTGTCAAGAGTTTAAATTCTTTGCCCAGTGCTTGTCGACTGGGACAAGGACAGTCTCCCAGCTAAATTAGCCTATTTTTTGATTCTCTTGTTTTATCAGTATTTTGTCTTTTCAGTATTTTATTTATTTTATTGTATTTTGCCGGACTGCTATAACAATTTAATTTCCCTTCGGGGATCAATAAAGTCATCTATCTATCTATCTATCTATCTATCTATCTATCTATCTATCTATCTATCTATCTATCTATCTCAATTCAGCTATGAACATATCTCAACTCAAAAGTGCATGTAAATAAACTGATTGTTTGGGTTTTTATGGGACTTCTTTACAATATAAAAAATGGAATAATCTGAGTGGAAGTAGGTCACATGATCATAATCTAAGAAACAAGATGTGGTCATGCGTAGTTGATACAGATACGACACACCTTATAGGAGCCTCGAGAGCTCATTGACTTGAAGACGCTCACTTTGCTCTGCAGATGGACACAGCTGCTGATCGTTGGCATCCACGCTGTTTCTGCACTGAGTGACCCTCCCCTGTGCAGACCTGGGTAAACACTGCAGCTGTGGTGAACCTCTGCCACACACACACACACACACACACACACACATACACACAAGCTGTTAGTCTCTGGGGATGTACATCTTCATCTGTGAATTCAGAGAGAAACAAACTGCCATCAGAAAGAAACATATGGCCTGTTTCGACTGGAAAGCATCTCACGGGCTCAGCCTGACATTTAAACACAAAGGGTCTGAGTGTTTAGCACCGCTGTTTGAGCTTTGGGAGGAATTATCTGCCAAAATAACAAGAGATGTTTTTTATTGCACACTTCTCCGTTTTGTATTGTTGTAATGTCTTCTGAGGATGATACAGCTCTCGCCTCCATCGGCTTGAAATCCCAAGGACAATTTGCAGTGTGCAGAATCACAAAACTCCTTTATTTATGCATGTAGGTCGTTGAGGAACGAATTCTTATTTACAAGCGTAACCTTGGAGGAGTGAGTGTTGCTCCGGAGCGGGGAGGGGAGGAGATAAAATATGAGCAAACAAAAAGGCTGGACACTGAGGGACATCATGAGACAGTGATAAACAACGGCATAAATTTCAAAATCAGTGCAGCGTGGCAGTGAAACACGGCAGTGAGATAAACTGGATGGAGAAATGATTATGGGAAGAAACGAGGCAATAAATGATAATACGCTTGTAGAGAGGCAACACAAACAAAACAAGACAGTAAAATTAAAAGGAACATGAACTGAGATTAAAATTCTGTAATGCAGATCACTTCAAAAAATATGCAAATAATGACTGCCTGATACAACAGTTTCTCTCAAATCTGTATATTTAGTGGATTTACTCTACAAAAATCATTGTTGTGGAATATTCTCTGTTCAGACTTGAGGCGCTGATCCTTCCCACGCTTAGTGCTCCACATTTGCATGGAGGTAAATAGGTTTCATAGATTTGATTGAACTTGAAAAGCAAGAGGAGATGATGTCATGACAGAGAGTGAGAAGGGATTTGATGAGATGTCTCATAAAGCTTATGCTCGAGAATCTCATCCCTCAATCTTGTTTTAAAAAAAATAAGAGTCTGCACTGACATTTTCACCACTGGAACAACTAGAAACCAGTAAACTCTTAATGTTCTGAATAAAAGGTCATTACAGCAACAGCTCGACTTGATTTTAAGTTACGCTGACGTGATCGTGTGCGAGAGAGGACTCCAGACACCAAACTGTTAAAAACTAAACAGGTAAAAGTTTATTCAGAACCACAAAAACATCTGTAGCACTGTTTTCATCCATCTGGAGGCGCGAACCCTACCACACCCGAAGAGTTTCTGAGGCGTAGAGTGAAATATATTTATCCTTAATAACTGTTTCTTAAGCTATCTAACAAGATCTGGTGTCTGGACATCATGTTTCGTCTCAGAACTGACCCCTATGTGACTTCCTGTCCGTCTTGATTCGCTCTGATTAGCTTGACACATGCCGGATGAAAGCTCGAGTAATAATAGAGTATATTTCTGCATAATCTTAGCTGCACAGGGCTTCTTGGTCATACATGAGACCTGCTGTGGCGCTTCCTGTTAAGCATGCACATTGACTCGAGTGGGCATTGATCAGCTGCAGAGGCCGTGGTACAAACAGAACATGGCGCTCACGCTCGCCGTGGATTTCAGGGTGACACTGTTGAGGTTAAGTTGTTTATTGACAGGAAGCAAATCTGACTTGTGTTCATCAAGGAGGATGGTGATCTTGAGTCTTAGAGATGACTCAAGTGCTCCTCTATCAAGCTGTGTAATGCTAATGCTAAAGCTAAGGCCACTCCCACACTGTAGACATGCAGCAGAGGCGAGTTTCTCATATACTTTGTTATAGAAAGTGGGAATATCAACAATCGCAGCCCTAAACATGTAAAAATACTCTCTCTCCTTGTGTCTGGTTTGCTGTCCTCAGTTTCCCTCCGATGTTCTCCACATCACCAACATATGCCCTCAAACGCTCCATAAATTCCCCCATCTTCACACCTGTTCCTGCTCTTGAACTGGACTCTCTCCTTTGTTTGAGTGCCAGTTCGCCTTTGTAGCGTGTGCCAAGTGCTCCTGCATTTCCCAGAGTTTCTCTCCAGTGTGATTTGGACATCTGCTTTCCTTGAACCTGACTTTTATTTTCTGCCATTTTCCCTGAAGTTGTGTTTTTTTGTCTCGGGCTGTTTTTTGGTTTTGCACTTCCCAAGGTTTTTTCTCCCAATAATAACAGATGTGATGTTGAAGTTTGCATTTGAGTCCGCTCCTTTGTTTTTCCATCTCAACGTGCCTGACATGTAGGGATGGGAATCGAGAACCGGCTCTTGTTGAGAATCGGTTCCAAATGGTTCAATCCATCCATTTCAAGGGTGCCTTGAAAAATGATCTTGCGAGTGCCAGTCTATACGAACGAGAATAGAGACTTTGAGGGAAAAAAAACATGGCAGACGGTACAAAAAAGTAGGCAGAAACGAGCTAAAGCGCGGCTTAATTGTACAAAGGAAGACGACAACAGTGCAACATTTGTCGAGCAGTAATAACATGCAAAGGTGGAAACACCAGCAACATGCTCAAACATTTGTCAACGGGGCACGGCATCAAGTATAAGGAGTCACATGTATTCGATGTTCCAGTCGTCAGCTCCGTCTCAGCACGGCATTGAAGATACATATGATTGTTTGACCATACGCCCTCTTTTACCCCGATATGTCCTCTTTTGGGGGCTGTCGGGGGGGAGTTCATAAAATCCTTCAAATATCTGGAATGTGCATTCATTCATTCATTATAAAACAGTGCAGAGCATCAGTGCTCTCTGCAGCTCTGCTCCTCCGCTCACTTCTAAGCAAAGCCACTGACATGACGCACACTTGCACTGTCTTTGGGAATTCGGAAAATGCGTTTAACTGAGTTAGAAGTGCATAAAAAACACTCAACTCGACCAAAGAAACCCTCAAAATTTCGCACACAAGTCCGCCCCGTGTAGTAGTTTCCTCTTGCTGAGGAGTCAGAATATGGTCACCTTAACATATGTCCTGTGTTAACATAAGCACAAAGCAGGCCAGAAACACTGTACAAATTGCATTTTTGTTTGATTATTGTAGACTCTCACTGAAAACCTATCGTCTACTTTTTTTTTTAAATCAAAGAAAGGCATTGATAAGGGAATCTTTAAAGAATTGAATCGATTAGCAGAATCGATAATGGCATCAATATCGATAAAATCTTATCACCATCCCTACATGTATGAGCTCTAAACTTTCCTGTATGTCCTTGTGCAGTGTTGGAAAAATGACTACAGTCTTATTGAACATAAAAACACAAAATAATCAAAGAACAGCTCAAACAAGCCACGACTGCAGCTTCCCTGCATGTTTTAACGTCCCGTATACAGCCAACAAAAGCAACACTGTGACCTGCTGACATTATTACTCACCAGTTGGAGCTGAAATCAAGTGTGTTCTAATCTATAGCACCCTGCTGGATAAAAAAGCTCAAACATTGAATTCAAACAGAGAGAATAACTTATGGTTATGTAACAATGAGGTGTGAGAGAGGACGCAAGCACATGAAAAAAAGTAAAAACAGTAGTTTTCGCCATGGAAACAAGCCGCTGTTCAGCCTCTCTCTTTCAAGTAGTGCAGCTAGCATTACTGTTTTAGTAGCTGGTTCAATAATGTGGTATGTAGCCTACATTCTGCGTTTCATCTGCTATGAAAAATTTAGACCGTGTGTTATATCATCATCAGACCCACAGAGACATGAATATCAAAGCACGTTCTCTCAGTTTTGTTTCATAACACTCATCCAATTCTCTTTCTACCTCTCCCTCTCTGCTCTGATGTAACATCAGAATCAAAAGTATACAGTAAGTAAATCTCACATGTCCACTGGAGGAGGAAATCAGAATAATCAATGCTGAAACAATGGCGTCAGACTTAAGGAACGCTCTCTCCTCCTCTTTTCCCTCTCCTTGTCAGCTCCTAATAGATTCTGCTAACTCAAAGACGATCTCTGGTGTAGCCAAGACAACACAGCTTATGATATATTCCCTCCTGATATTAAAAAACAAGTGGGACGAGCAGAGGGATTGTCTAGGCTCTCTTATCTGACTTCTGTGAGCCTTCACCTCCCCCCCCATTCCTTTTTCCTCCCACCTGCCTCCCTTATGCGCTCCCCTCTGCCTCCTCTCTTCCTCCTCCTGATCGTCACGGCGTGATAAGCAGGGAGCGATGAAGGGGAGAGTTTTTCATCTGTAGGGATAACAATGCAGGCTAACTTCATCCCCCCTCCTCTCCTTCTACATATTCACCAAATCCCCCTGATGCTGTTCTCAGATCAGACTATTTGTTTTACACAGTTTCTTTTTCTCACGTGTAAGCGATAGTAAAGAGTCGAACTCTTTGTTTGAATGCTGCCAGCTCTCTCTTTTGCCACAGACTGCCTATAGGGACACGAGTGTTTGTGTGATTGTCTATCAGCCTCATTAAGTGCAACTAATATTGCCGCCTCTTGCCGAGAGCGTGTGAGCAAACTGATGATTTCTACTTTTCGTTTTGGGATGCTGAATCCATATGCTGTCATCTAAAAACATGAAATTAAGACAAAGGAAGGTGCCGAACATTGAACAGCAGCACCAAGGAGGCATATGGTGAGGATTGTTACTGTTTTCTTGTGTTTAATAAACCCGTACCTGGAACCGTAGTTCTTGCTTTGGTGCCAGATTGGTGATGCGATTGTCTTGAGGCCTTATGATGATAAACACCGCCTTTCTATTGTCCTCCATCCTATAACCCATCGCCAGGTCTCTAAGCCAGTTACACCTCTTTAACTTCTTGCAAGTTAGACATGACAATCAGACCAGTCTAAGGTAACCGGGGACATCCGCAGTGGGAGGTGGGCATGGGCTGAATGATCACGGACAACATTTCGTTACTACTTAGAAGCAGCGCACGCCCCCCGTAATGACCCCCCATGAAAACTGTTGTTCAGGACTCTGCACAACATGCTTACTTGTGCTTCCTACCGACTCGGCGACCGTAATAACCATTGTTCTAGTCTACACATGATATTTTTCTTCTTATTCATGAAACGCTTAAATCGGGGACATTTCCGGGGACAGGTTTAGCAGGGATAGGTCATCCAAAACAGGGATTGTCTCCGGAAATCGGGGACGTCTGAATACCTCAAACCAGTCGTCCAAGCGCTGACATTAGCTGCATTTATATGGGCACAAATAATCAGAATAAAGGACTGATCGGAATAAAAATGCGTCACATAAACATGTCAATCAGAAGATACTGATCCAATTTGGCTCAAACGGAAAGAAATTGTATTCCAATCGAGATGGGTGATTTATGCCAATTGTTATTTCATGTAAACACTTATTCCGAACGTGACTCTCTTACCTGACTCGGTCTTTGCTCTTTAGCTTATTTATTGAGGCCAGTACAGGAGGTTCCAGTATTAACACTCTGGCATAAAACACAACTGCACAACCAATTACCTTGAGTATGTCTCTAAGAGAGCTTGTAGTTCCCCATTACCCCTCCAGAAGACTGTAGTCCTGACATGCAGGCGTCCTCATCGTACCTAAAGTCTCTAAAAGTGCTCTAGATGGTCGAGCTCTACCTTTAATTTTACATTTTTGCAGTCTTTGGTTTCTGCTTTCGCTTTAGTGTTCATATTATAAATGTGTTTGACAAGAAGGTGCCAAATATGAACAGCAGGTGAGGCAGCAAGCTGTTCTTTAAATGAGACGATGAATCAGCGGCAAGCATAAAATACATCGAGGCCTGACAACAAAGAGAGACCCAAATATACAGGGCCATCTTATCTGGAAGAACAAGCAAATATAAAGCTAGTTAAAAACCACAAATTTAAAATCCTGGTGGAACATAAAGATCTTGAAAGCAGGAGCTATGATGAAGTTTGACCTTTTTTTTTTTTTTTTACCGCTGGAGGTCCTTCATGTTCACAAAGCGAGACAAAGACTATCAACAGAAATCATTCACACGAGTCACGTTCACGTGTGCATTAGGAACTAGATTATAATTTGATTAAGTCAATAATGCATATGAGAGAGGGCCCATGTCAACACCATTTCCTGATTGTATTAATTGGATCTTGCTCTTAATCTATCATCCTAATTTGATTTAAATATTCACTGCACTAAGATTTTAATTCCATTTATAGACGCCATTTATCCAGACTCCTCTGAGGGAAGCTGAAGCCTTACATTACATTTCACAACAAGTGCTTTGACTTCTCTAAAATGATCACTCTTTCTATTCATCTCTTCATGCTTTATCTCTAACTTTTATCTCAGTCTTATAAACATTTTATCCCCCGCTATTTCAGAATTTTTGTCACACACATCATGTTTTGAGGGTTTCTTTTCCATGTGATATGTTCAAGATCAAATTTGCCAAGACGTAAACACGTCTAAAATGAAATCTGAACTGACTCCATGAGGTTTTATCTTGGATCAGCCCATCGCTGTAAGTGACAAACTGTTTCTGAACAAGTTTGTCAAAACACAAAGACAGAAAAAAGGAGCAACTGAACTCACAACTTTATGACTTTTGTGTTTTTTATTGAGACTCAAACTTTTCTGGCCCTGTGTTCTTATTTTGGGACGATCAGCTCTGACCTTAAGACTACCAAGAAATGACTTCTCAGCGTAAATATCACCACTGTTGATACCAAATATAGCACCGCTTTATGTCAAAAGTAAAAATATCTCTTTAAATCAGGCGGCTGCAAACTTTAGCTCAATAACACACACTGTATTGAAAATAGGCTGGGTTTGTTTTCTGTTGTTGTCACCTGTCACTCACAGCTGAATGACGGAGCAGAGGGAGTACGAGCTCTGACTGATCTATAGACAGCGATTGATTTACAGCCTGTCTCAAATTATTGGCAAACTCTTTCTGTCCGTCATGACCAAAGATTTGCTTACGGCTCATCAACTACAAACATGAAAGTAAACCACGAGGAGTATATTATGATTTCTACAGAATGAGATGAGTTATTTCTTCCTCAAAAACAAACGAACAATTAAACCACTCAAAGAATATTTTAACATAATACTCTATCTGTTTGTTATACCGACTTAAAATAACAAAGCCCAGATACAGCTGTGAGCTGTTTCGACAGAGCAGGTTGGTGACATATTTATGGGCTTAAGCATGTGTCCCTTCTGCTCTGTTCACACATTTAACTTACTAATAAAACCTCAAAGTTTGAGATGCTCAGAAAATAGGATGCTGCAGGAGCTATAATTGCCTACAGAGCTGTCAATCAAGATGTCACATCCTCTCTTTTAGCACCAAATACCTCATTTAAACCGAGCTTCTCCGAAAGATAAACACTGTCACATAAATCAGCATGATGAGAACTAACAGCTGTGACAGAAACCATATTTGGGAAGAGATTATGTAACATGTTTTAATCCGCTGATTAAACCCATGTTCTGTCACTGATAATGGAGACAGCAGATCTTAAGATCCATACTGCAGCCAGTCACCAGGGGAAGCTCTACATTTTCTGGTTTCACGTCAGATCAAAACTGAGCCATCCATCTTCTACAGTTTGTGTCATAGACATAATATACATAGATGTCTTATAGACTGACGCTGCCTATTGGAGGTCACGCTTCAGTGCGGCCACAATCTTGGATTTAATTCTGTTGAGGAAGGTAGGAATGCCCAATTATGTTAATCTTAACTCCCTGAATTTTTACCCGATTTTTACACTGTTTGGTTTGTTACAAGTGGCAGAGATGAAGCTATGATACAGGACCATAAACTGTATATACTATGGACAACTTGGTTCCACCTCCCGCCTGTTTACAGATTTGAGGCCAAAAAGCTCTTGGTATTTCCAGGATTTTTCTTCATTTCCTGAAACCAACATTGTGCAGTAGCGATGTGCGCATTCAGTGAGAGAGTCGCCGAGAGTCGCTGTGATGACGTTTGGCTCAAACAGTGTCAATCAAAGAAAACATGAACCCCTTTTAAAACGGAACTTCACAGAAAAAAGAGGACTTGAGCACAAACCAGTCTTACTGTAACTACATGTCAACATCACATGCAGGGGGGAGAAAAAAAATTCATGTTCTGTGTCATAAATTTCTAAAGTTTGTCCACAGCTCCATAAGCTTTGCTGGCGGAGGCAGGATTTATGACCTATACTGCAGCCCATCAACAGAGGGCGCTGTTCTTGGAGTGGCTTCACCCAGCAAGGAGGCAGACGCTGTCCATTCTACATACAGTCTATGTACAGGATGCTGTCACACATAAAAATAACCCAAATTGATTTTCAATCTTACTTGTGAAATGTAATCTTATATGATCTGGTTTCAAAAGTGCATCGGTTTTTGCAACCATCGGGGCATAGTTGCTCATTCTACATTTACTCCATTTGGCTCTAGTATGAGCCTGGAGTGAAGAGACCCATCCAGTATGGAGGCAATGCCAGATTACACTAAAGCACGTAATGAGGCGTCTTCTATATAATGTCTATGGTCTGTGTTAGCAACATACTGTACTCGCTTGTGCGTGCGTTTTCTGAGGGATGCAGATGTTTTAGCATGATGCAAAAAACCCAATTCAGAAAAAGATGTTTGCCTGCTGCATTTCTGAGGCGGAGTTTTTGGGATTTAAAAAAAAAAGAGGGTGTCAAAGGGTGCCAGTTTGCACCATTTACAGAGACTGATGTCCTTTAAGTTGGTGGCCAAGCTCTGGAGATTGACCCATTAATTAATTGCATTTTGACGTTTTGATGTAATTGGTGTCATATTAGCATCGGCCTCATAAGGTTAATATCACCATCAGCTTTCAGAGCACATGAAGTCTGAAACTGTCACTCTCAAGTATTAGAATTTAATTTGTTATGATGTATAGAATTACATAGATTAATAATAATGTTCATGTTCACCTTGCCTACTTTCTCTTTATTTCCAACTTCAGATAGAACAAATCTATCTGTGATATTTTAATGAACCTGTCTACAGTTAGAAAAAGTTCAACTGTTTTTTCTTCATTTGTTAGTATTAATTTTTACTGATAAAAAAAACAGTTTAATATCTGCATTAAATATCAGCCATCAGCTCTCTCTTATTATTACTATCAGCTGTTTAAAAACTGATATTGGTCGATCACTACAAACCTGTAGCTCTTCTCCTTCACTTTTTCGTCTGTACTATTCTCTCTAAATGAAGGCATAAAGAGCCCAAAAAATATGATTTACTCATCTCATGAGAAATCAGATTGGATGGAGGAGTACGATTTTTTTCAAGAGGGCTTTCTACCAAACATGAATGAGTCTATTTGGTTTAATTTCATCATTTCGGTTGAAGGTCTCGCTCTGTCTCCAGTCACACAAAAACACACTTGACCAAATAGACTCAAAGCTGCAGAAGAGCGAAGCTTCACCACTTAGCAGCACGCTCGAACACTTACTCCTGCGCAAACACACGCGCGTGCACTCACACAGATATCCCAGTTGTTCCCTGCTTTGCATAAACCAATAATGTAATGGAGAGAAAGCCGTCCCCTGATGAACACTGTAATGAATAATTTAAAATACAACAGCTGAGAAGCATCTCCAACTTTTAAACGCTCTCCAATCACACACTGAAAAAGTCCATAAAGAAATGTAATGGCAGTCGATGGATGTAATGTTGCAGAATTATTGGACAAATAAGACAAGTTGCTCGCGTTTACATCCACTTGAATTCAATAAGAGCTAATTTTGAGCTGGTTTGATTTTTGCCGTGATGGATTGTAGTCCAGCTTGCTACACAGCTCAATACGCTCACAGCTCTGCACTGCATTGTGGGTAAAAGCTGGGTCAAACCAGGTTTGTTTTGCTGGATTACTTCTTTTTATGCCTCTGGGATGAAGTGACCACTACAACTAGATCACAAGAGGAGATGAAAGAGTTTTGTCTTTGTGTTGTGAAGATGTGTGTGCTGATGGTGCATGTGGATGAATATGTGGGTATATAAGCAGCTAAAGGGGGTATAGATGCCTCGGGGAGCTCACATACAGAGCTAATGAGTTGCAGTACTATGGCCACAGTCTTTTTTCTGAGGGCAACTGTAAACAGAAACAATAAACAGAAAAATGATCAACAGTTTTCTGGTGCTTTTCCATCACACTTCATTCACACGCTCAGAACGTTTACATGACGCTCGAGAAAACCGTGTTATTGCCTTATTCTGATAAAGAGCGGATAACTGAAGTGCATGTAGCACCTCAGTCCGACTATGATCAGAGTTTGAGAACTCCGATTAAGACACCCAGATAATGCGATTGGAATTCGATTTTCTCTACCATGTAACCGGCGTAGTCGGAGTATGATTGGACAGTGCATGTGCAAGTGCGCCACGCTTGTAACTCCAGAACAAAAACACCAGACAAGAGAAGTAGCATGCACCTAGTCTGCAGAAAAAGTAGCGTGTGTATCATGTACGACAAAAACAACGCTGTATGATGCTCCATCTTCCCCAGCAGCAGTTGTAGCCACCTCTGATGTCTGGCACAGACCTGCTGTTGTTGTTGACAGTTGTATGGGATCAACCAGAAACGGCGCAGCTGAAAAGACCCATATCGCCCCGTAGTTTTGGGAAAGGAGGGCACGTTCACGTCAATAATTCAATTTTCCAAGCTGCATGTATACGCAGAAAAGTAGAGAAGTCCGATTTGCGAAATAACCAAATTATGCGCTTAGTCCGATTAAGCAGTGCATGTAAACGCACTGAGTGATGGCAGAGGCTGATCCCATTCACACAGAAGGGGCCGGTGGGGTCAATGGTCTGGCCCAAGGACACTTTGGCATGTGGGACCTGAGAGCGAATCCACGACCTTTTGATCAAGAGACAGCTGACTCTACCACTGAGGCGCAGCCGCTCCTGCAAGTCTAGGCGCTCTGTCAATCGATGCATTTTTGTGCTGATCAGCACACACATGCTCAGTTTCCGAGTCCTTATCCCCACTGGTGACTGTTGCAAGGTTGCAGAAGTTGTCCCACGGCATTTACACTTTCCTGATGGTTAAGTTTTATTCTTCATATTTTCCTCCATTTAAGAAAATTCAACAAAGAAAGTCAAAGGGTTGTGCCCTGGTGTTAGCAGCAGCCTAAGCGTTGGAGTTGTATCCTTAAAGGAAACATTATTGTTGGAAAAGTTAATGTCAAAGGTCTCTGAAATTTCGT